CCCGCCAAATAAAAAAAAAAAATTTACACCCCCCAACCCACCCCAAAAAAAAAAAAAAAAAAAAAAAAAAAAAAAAAAAAAAAAAACGAAAGATGGGGAGGTTTTCAGCCCATAGCTCGTTTATAGCTTGGAGAGAACGGCATCGACGCCGGAGACGCCGACATCACCGGCAGGCTCCTTCTCGGCGTAGACGACCTTGCCGTGGTCGACGATGATGGCGTAACGGGCGGTGCGGGGGCCCAGGGTCCAGCCAATGGACTTGCTGAAGGCGGCCTCGTTGTCGGTGGCGAAGATCTAGAGTGGTTGTGATTAGTAAGTAGTATAGAAGGGGGGGTTTATTTTCGAGGTCTTACGATGGACTCGTCCTTGATGCCGTTGGCCTTGCCCCAGGCGGCCTGGACAAAGGGGTCGTTGAAGGCGATGACGATGATAATGTCAGCGCCCTTGGCCTTGAGCTCGTTGAGCTTGGCAATGTAGCCGGTGACGTGGGTGACCTGGCAGGTGGGGGTGAAAGCACCGGGTACGGAGACCAGGACGACCTTCTTGTCCTTGAATTCTGGAATTTTCATTAGGTTAGCGATCTGTTCCCATTCACGCAATGCGTTGATTGAGAGGGCGAGTGAGGTCAGAGGAGCCGAGGTAGGCGACGTAGACTTACCGGCGCTGGCGTCGAACTTGGTGGGGATGCCGCAAGCTAGGACGTCGCTGGTCTCGGGAGTGGGCTTGACGTAGAGGAAGCTCACGCCTTCGGGGAAAGCATCGCCGGCTTTGAGGGCAGACATTGTGAATATTGGTGGGTTTAAAATTTCTACTTGGGCTCTTGGTTAGAATGGCACGGCATAGGTATCAGAGCAGGAGAGGTTCGATTGGTGGACAGTTATGCTGCAAGGCCACAGAGCTCTAGTTGGTAGGCGGGGTATCACTTACGAAGATGAGGAGGGAGCCGAGTATGGGATGTAGCAGAGAATGACGGAGCTGGTGGACTGAATGAGAAGAAGGGGACTCGAGGTCTACTTATTGTCGTCTGCCACAGAACATGTCCGGGATTACTATCAAGGCAGCACGTGCGGCCGAACTTCCTACTAGCTAGTCTTAGGCAGGTCGGTCAGGCGAGGATGGTGTCGAGAAACGCATCATTGGCGGGGTCGCGATGAGCATGGTGGGGTAAATTATCACGTTTTCTCCCGCGGACGGCCGACCATAGGAGCACCAGGATTCACTCGTACCTGTTCGTTACAGTAAAGGTCCATCTTCTCCATTTGGATAGAGGGTGATACACACGACAATGATAGGTGAGACGGTCCATCAAGGTTCTTTCTATCCTCTATGTGTGCTGTTTCTCTACCCCGTTTCGCCTTCTCCTCTTTGATTCGTCATAAGGTAACCACAATGAGACACCTACATCGGAGTACCTACATTGTTGCTGAGATAGTGCAGGTTGAAATATGAGAAAGTTTGAACCGCAACTTCGAGGGGCCAACTGGTCGACAGTATGGATTGCCGGCTGCTGCATGTACAGATAGGTATGGCATTCGAACAGCGGTTCATACAGCCATCTAAAACCGTAGTATCCGTTCAATCCGCGTCTACTACTATGTAGAGGTAATCGGATACTCGGGATGCCTCCACCATGGGACCCGCGTACCAGACAGCACAGTGTATATGCCACGTTACAAATTACTCTAGTTGTCGTCTATTCAAATAGCTATATCAAATCAGTGACGCAAGGCTTTGCAATGGCATGGAATCTTGTAGACTCTTCTGAGAGATAGACTGAACCGTATATGGGAATCTATGGCTGGCATGCAATTATCGAGCGGGGGCGCCATGACCGTGGTCAAGCACATCATTTTGTCTAGCGATCACTCGAGCACCCGGGCTATCATGATAATTTGTCGTTTTAAAAATCTCATTACGCAAGTGCAAATAGATCTTGATTAAATTCCCCTCTCCGGAATACTCACACTACTTTCCTCGTCCCATGCATTCCGTCCATCTACCAGGGGAGAAGAAAGAAGAAGCAATGGGGCTCGGCATGGTTTCCCGTACCTTATGCACCTCGCATGCCGAGGTGCGAGGTCGAAATAAGCATTTAGACGATCATCACATCTTGTCCTAACTCAAGCTAGTTTCGGAGGAACATGGTGAAGCTAAGGCCGCGGATATACAAGGAGATATGATCAATCAGATCGTCTCACTGCAGACTGCTTATCAGACCCCGTGTCCGAAGCCGGCGCGGAAGCGAGGTCCCGCCGAGGGAACACGGGGATATCTATAAAGCCAACAAATCCCGTTCATTCCCCGGCTCTCCCCGTCACGGACTATGAAGTCGGCATCTTTTTTGCAAATGCCCTCGCTGGCGCCCGTGGAATTGGGGATGGAGTCACCAATGGGTGACTGACTCATCAATGAAGGTATTTCGAATGTGTAGTTGGGCATTGAGATATAAAATCGTAATGGAGACGTAGAATGAGTCAAACGTGACGACCCAAAAGCGACGTGGACTAAACTTTTCCCCCACTTCAAACTAGCAAGGTGACTATCAAACATCACCATCTCCGCAGCTTCGGTATTACCCCTGATATCGAAATAAAATATTTTGAATTTTTGAATTTTCAGCATTTTCGCAGTTTGCGGTCCGGGAGTTACGTCGATTCAGACATGGCCACCAACGCTGGAGACGAGGGAAGGCCGCCTTACCCACCTTTCACGGCGGAGACGGCGCAGATCAAGGTGAAAGCAGCGCAGGATGCGTGGAACACGAAGTATGCCGTTCACCATCATCTCATACGGACACGGCCTCTCTGTCATCTCACCGTATGCTTGGACTACGCTAACCTACCGATCACCTACCTAGGGACCCGGCCAAGGTCAAGCTAGCCTACACGCCGGACTCGATCTGGCGCAACCGGGACACGTTCCTGACGGGCCGCGACGAGATCGAGGTCTTCCTGACCAAGAAGTGGCAGCGCGAGCAGGCGTACCGTCTGCGCAAGGAGCTGTTCGCGTTCACGGAGAACCGCATCGCCGTGCAGTTTTGGTACGAGTGGCACGACGCCGACGGCCAGTGGTGGCGCACCTACGGGCTTGAGGACTGGACGTTTGCTGATGACGGGCTGATGCGCAAGAGGATGATGAGCGGGAACGATGTGCGCATTGATGGTGGCGAGAGGTGGTTTGCGGATGGGGTGGATGTCAATGCTGTTGATATCTCGGAGAAGCATTGGTGATTTTGATGGAGTGATTATTGTGGTGTTATTCCGCGAGTTTCCCTTCTCCCCTCTCAATAGTCCTCTCTGTATTATGTATAGGATGAGAATGCAGTGGTAAAGGTTTCACTCTCGTAGTCGAGTCTCTACAGTCTTTGTGGTGATACAAGGTGTCCTATGACGCCCCCATATGCCGCAAGCCGTTATGGTTGAGACTCAAGACTTACTTTCAGCATCGTGGTCGTGTCTTTACCGGAAAACACCATCTACTGAAGAAGACTCGCTTTCCGTGCTTCTAGAAGTATTGGCCCAGGTTTACTCAAACGGGGATGCCGTCAAGTCACTACTTCAGTGAGGCTTGAGGCTATTAGATCACAACAACACCAGGTGGGTGTCTACATCTATCTCACCTTGACTTCAACTTCGGAAGCTCCCCTCATGAGACACTGACTTGTCTCGGAACCTGCTGTATCACGTAGGGGGCGAATAGTCGGAGGCTGGGAAACACGCGCAGCCGATGCTACGTAGATATTGTGTTACGGCTGAGTTCAGTACTTATAATGTGGTTGTGTGGACACACTTCATCTTCGGTCTTGATTGAAATCTATGCAGCCTCGAGTGACTTTGAGTTGGCAAATGAGATATAATGCACTTACAGCTTTCGTGGACGAGATAGATGCGGAGTACATCGTCATGATCTCCCGCGTTCAGCCTCCTACCCAGCTCATCAGCCACATAAACACAACTCTCGCAGACTAAGATATTCACACAATCACACCTAGTCACATACGATCCCACAGAGCGTGTTCCAGACCCAATCCTTACGTAAGAAGGTTCGGCGTTAACCTGCGCAGTACGTTTATGTCTTGGATAGGTGCGCATGGGCCGCGCGGGGGTCCTCGGAAAATAGTACGGTACGCTACTGATGACGCTGGACATGTAAGAAATACTCCGAGACAACTCTGGGTATAGTTAGCCAGGGGGAATACACTCGTTTTCTTCCAGATTAGTCGCTGAAGCTCGCTTCCGTGGCTTTTGTTGGCTTACGCCACGTTACAGTAGCTTCGATGAGGCGTATGTGATGACTGTGTGACCTGCTGAATTAGTCTACAATATCACCGCGCATGCATATCAGTCTACAAAACTCATCTCGCAGGAAATAAAGCCTGGTTGTCAGGAGTTTCTACCGTTGTTCTACTACTAAGCCGAGAGAGTGTGGTGGTCCTTGGCTTTGGAAGAGATAGTTTTGCAATCACCTACTACTTAAGTAGAAGAGGTATCCATCTTCGGTTGATGTACCGTAGTTAGTCTATAGTCTATCCTAACCGTTAGCTACCTTTTGACGGCAATCCCGGATCTTCTCGGTTCTCTTGATACTTAGCGTTAGTGTTCGGAGCATATGTGCCTGAATCCCCATATCCTCTTCACGCTTGGGTTATTGTGCGCCCGCCACAACGGGGAAGATATAAGTAGATAAATACAACGCTCCCTTGACTGACAGTATACACCGTCATCAGCCATGAATTGATGAAATTACAACGTAGTATCGTTACGTGTAGACTTTTGTGTAGGGTGGTCTGGACGATGTTATAGGACAGGCGAGCTAAGGCTGCTCTCCCTTAGCTGGTCTTTAGCTCATGTTCTCAGCTACTCCCAGAAGAAGCTCCGGACCTATGGACTGCTATAGAATATCACTCATTAACTGGGCCTGGGCTAGCGGCACAGGGATGAGATCGGAGGATCTACGATGCATGCCTCTCTCCCTTGATTGGGTTACCCGCCTTCGAGTACCTGGATTAGGTATTACTCGCATGCCTTGTATTACCTACTCACAATGCCCTTTGTTTCCAACTCCATGGTAAGGGTAAACTCTCGCTACTCTCCATTTCTTCTTTTCTTTTTTATGCTCGCCAATCTTCCAGGATCTTTTTAATTTTGTTTTGTATTATGCTTACTACAATTGTGTCTGTGTCTTGATTCATATCAGTCTTAAGAAGAGAGCTATATTATACACTGCGTAAGTTATGCCCAACCTAGTCCAGGTATCTTTTCTTCTTTTTAACAAGCTAACCCTAGCGTGCCGCCCACGATACTCTCAGTCGTCCTCAGTTCCTTGCCCAAGAAAACTCCATAGCGGGCTTCCCTTAGTCTTTCCTAGCGCATGTACGGATATCGAAGCCAAGGTTGAATAGGAGGGGTAGACTCTAAAGGTCGAGACTTTGTGTTAGTCTCAACTAGTCGCCAGTCTGTATCGCTGCTGTCTTAGCGGAGGTTGTGACATCGAGTCGTAATACACCTACTTAGACATGTCTCTGAACTTCTGCTAATTTTTTTTTTTCTCGAGTACTGGTGCACCATGTGCGGCGCTTGTGGCTCGTCCAGATGGGACCCAAAATGCAACATTTGTGTTCTGTTCAAGTACTTCAGTCGGCTAATTACTTAATGGAAATATTCTCGCTTCATCAGAATTTCTTCTGATGGTTTCAGTCAGCCTTCTGGTGATTCCACGTGCATCTACCACACTGAATCAACACGCGATTTAGCGTCTTGAGCTGAGCATTCCCATGTCATGACACGAACTAGGGATGCCCAGGTGTGATCAAAAGCAAGATTTGTTCGAAATTCGGCGCGTATATACTTAGTGCACGTTGTCTCCCTTCCCAGTCTCTTGGGTCGTGCTAATTCGAGCACTACACATCCCTTACCCTGACTCTCAGGTTCACTCATGTGGGTAGACTCTGACGACGCTGGACAGGCAGTAACAGCTTTCCTCAAGTTTTCACTTAAATACATAATTATTACTAGATAGTATCTCATCTGGATTCCTCCTCTCATTGTATACTATCTTCAGTCTAGAAGTCGAATCCTGATTGACCTCAACATGGGGCTTCTACCGTTAAACTACCGGCGTCCCGACTACGTCAATGACGATGCTATTAGAAGGAACGATAGTATAGCCCAGAGCGAGGAGAAGGTAGATGGATCTCTACGCTCCGGACGCTCTGGGGCTTCTTCGGGCATCCCAGATGCGCTCACGTTTGACAAGATCATCAGCGGTGGAACCTGTCCAGTTAGTTCGCACAAGACTTGTTCGAACCTCGACTGTCGTAACTAACCTCATAAACAGCCCTGCACAGTCCGAGATTTCATGAACTACCTCATTTATATCGAACATTCTGCCGAGAATCTTCAGTTCTTCCTATGGTATCGTGACTACGTCAAGCGCTTTGACGCAGCTCCTGATTCTGAGACGATACTGTCTCCGGAATGGACAGCAACAATGGAGGAAGAAGCGACCGCCCAAATCCAGAAGGATGCCGCTGATAAAGCCAGGAAGGGTCCCTCGGCAATCATGGAGATTTTCAAGGGAACTGACTTTGAGAGGACCCCCGAGAGTGTTGTGGAAAACCGGAATCCCTTTTCCACTCCTCCCAGGTCCTCACTCGGAGATAATGCGTCCTTCTCTGGATCCCAAGCCACGACATATGTTAGTCAACCAGGCGATGTCTTCCACACAGCCGGTGTCAAAGCGCCTTGTGAGTCTTTACCGTGAAGATACTGTTCGCTCCCAATAGCTTACTCTTTGTGCTCAGTCACCATACAACCTTTCCGAACGGAGATCAATAGGGTCATCGCTACTTATATCGTTGACGATTCGCCTAGGCAGTTGAACCTCTCTGCCCGCGAACAGAAGGCCGTTGTCCAGGCTCTGTCCTATACAACCCATCCATCAGCCCTCCGTACCATCTTCCAGAACATCGAGAACACGCTCAGAAGACAGGCACATCCAAACTTCATCCGTTGGGTCATCTGCAATGGTAATCCTGCCCGCGTCACGTTTGCTCGCGGTCTGGGTGTGGGCAGCATCCTCCTCGCGCTGATTGGATCAATCATCTTGACCCTGAGCACGGCGGGACGCGGGTGGCGCGCACTCTTCGCGATCCTTTGGGTCTTCGGTATTGCGACGCTCATCACGGCCATCAAGGGTATGTGCGTGGTGCTCCACGGGTTGCACCACCGGCACGTGCGGCCTTGGGAGCTGTTCGTCGACGACAATTCCACAGATATCGACGAGTTGTGTAACGGGAAGAGCAGCTTCGACTCGTTCGGCTCGAGCAACAGCTACGAGGATGAGCCTTGGGTCGTCAAGTACCAGCGGCGGTTCTACGTGCGCAGGGTCTTCGACCGCGAGGTCTGGATCCAGGAGCCCGCGCTGCGCCAGATTCAAGACACCATCTTCTTGCAATCGATGTTGATGGCGACTCTGGGGGCAGGCGTGCTCACAGCCATATTTGTGGCTGTACCGGGTGGCAATTTCTTTTAGGTAGACGGCATGGCCTTCTTACACCAACGATATACCCATCTATCTGGAAGATTTGGAAGACGTGGAAGCAGTTTCAGCATTTGATACTCTCCGGTCTCATCCTCATGTTCCAATCCTCGAATCAAATATACAGACAAATTCACGGCGATAAAATAATGGAGGGTTAACCAGATCACCCAAGTAGGCTTAGTGTAGGTATATATAGCTTGCGATTACATAATAAGTAATTTATCCTTGACATAAGTCGAGGGGTTATCTATCTCCAATTACTACAGTGTATAAGTCATGTTAATCAAGCAGCTGCGATACTTGGGTACGGTGCCTAGGCAATATCTAGATATTTCTCATGCTTGAATTGAAGTAATTATCCCGAATTTAATATATATATATCTGTAAATATAGGCCTTGGCGTCCTTCACAGTTACTGCAGGTGTAGTAGAGGATGCAGGTATTTATGCAGGTAGTGGGTATCGATAAGACCGCTAAGTACCTTTACCCTGCTGCAACTTGCCGCAGTGAGGCATATCCCCAGCCATGATAGGTATCTTATCTTTGAGGGTACCTGGCTGGTACCCCTCCTTCCCCCCGCAGCAACGGCCAAAGGGTCCCAACCGTAATTCACCCTTCGTTTACCGACAACAGCTCTGACCGAGGGATCATTTCCGCCTTACTCATCCTCATCCCAGACCTCACTCAATACCTGTCATCTGCTGTCCCAATAGACACCGCCATGTCAGATTGATCGACTATTTCCTACGATTCTACAATAGACTTACCTTCATGCCGCCCTAGAAATCCACCACAAGTCCGGCTCTTGCGCCGTCATTGTGTGCCTCCATCCATCCATCCACCCATCCCTACGCCCATCCCTCCACACACCGTGACTCTTAATCGCATCCTGTCCCATCCCTATGAATACAGGAGAAAGATCACGCCGTGTCATATGAATCGTCTCGGAGAATCGGCGCATATTACCCTCGATCAACCGGTACCATGTCCCCCGATCATATAAGTGCCCACGCCGACACAGCCATCGCGCCTGGTGATGATACCGAGCATTACGAGGGCCATCCTCGACCACGCGCCATGACAAATACCGCCGAGATTGATAGCACAATATCCCATCCAGGTTCTGTGCGCATCAATGTCAAGGGCGCTTTCATCGTCGACGGCACCGAGCAGCCCGCCACACCCGCCAATGGTAATTCAACTGCCAACGGGAGCTATCACGAGGGCAAGGACATCAGGTTACCTAACCATACAGCTGTTGTCAGCCATGTAGCCGTCGATGTAAGTACTGCACCGCTCTGGCACCCTCTCTGAGCCTGACCCTGAATAGAAGGTGTATATCGTATGATAGACGTCAAGGCTAACATGCGATTGATTAGATCGGCGGATCCTTGGCTAAGCTGGTCTACTTTTCTCGTGAAGCGCATTCGAAAGAGCCCGGGGGAAGGCTGAACTTCCACTCCTTTGAGACCGATTATATCGATGATTGTATAGAGTTCATGCGACACCTCAAAGACAACCAATTAGCTCTTAATGGCTCCAAACCGAAAGACTTATGTATCATGGCGACCGGCGGTGGCGCATTCAAATATCATGACAAGATAAAGAAGGCACTTGGTGTTGATGTTCTGCGCGAAGACGAAATGGCATGCCTGATAATAGGTGAGCTCGCCTGTAGTTCTAACTGCATTGTGTCTGATGGATTGGAAAAGCTGACCATACGCACGATAGGACTTGACTTCTTCATAACTGAAATACCTCGCGAGGTCTTTACTTATTCAGAGACTGAACCTATGCAGTTTGTAGAACCCCAAGCCGATATTTACCCCTATATGCTCGTCAACATTGGATCTGGTGTCAGCATACTCAAGGTGTCCGGCCCGAGGAAATACGAACGCGTTGGCGGTACTTCTCTCGGCGGTGGCACATTATGGGGTTTATTGTCTCTCCTCACACCCGCCAACAGCTTCGATGACATGCTCGACATGGCGGCCCAAGGTGATAACGCCAAAGTCGATATGCTGGTTGGGGACATATATGGCACGGACTACAACAAGATTGGGCTCAAGAGCACCGCTATCGCTAGCTCTTTTGGAAAGGTATTTCGAATGAAGCGAGAGGCCGAGAATGAGGCCGAGAACAACACCACCGCCATACAAGACCAACCGCAACCCGATCACGAAGTACATGCGCCGTCGAATAATGACACTACCTCGTCACAGTCGAGAGGCCCGACCGATACGTCATCCCGATTCTCTGCGTCCGACGTCTCACGATCGCTGCTCTATGCCATCAGTAATAATATCGGACAAATCGCATACCTACATTCCCACATCCACGGCTTGTCACATATCTACTTCGGTGGGTCGTTCATCCGCGGCCACCCGCAGACTATGAATACACTCAGCTATGCCATCAAATTCTGGAGTAAAGGCCAGAAACAGGCGTACTTCTTACGCCACGAGGGCTACCTCGGCGCCGTTGGCGCGTTCCTCAACCGACAGCCTCAGAACTGGGGGCGCAGGGGTAGCTTCGAGGGAGACGGGGCTGCCCTTGAGGATCGTTTGCGGGCTCGCACGAATGAACAGTGAGGAACCGTCGCGAAGGCAAACGGAAGACAGCCCTTTTGATTGTATACCGAGCTAGACAAAATCGGAGATTCTGGGGGTTAGGGGTGTCGGCTTAGGCGCTGAACGTTGTTTGTAGACTGATGGATGCCTTCCTTTTTTTGATGTACCTATCTATATTGTTTGGCATGGCGATGAGCAGGCGCCGCGAAAGCGTTCTTGCGGTGATGAGACTTAGATCTGATGATTTCTGGATATATGCGCTGGATGGGGGATACCTTAACTTTGACACCTATCAAACCTCCCAACTACATATCTAGATAAATACCCCGAAATTGAGCTTTATCGACGAAATCATAGTTTTGGACATTACGTGCTTGTCTTATCAATGGGATACTTTGTTGCACACGATTCTGGTGGTCCTTATCCAGGCTACGAGGTAGTTCCCATCACGATGAACGCGACTACGTAAGTTTGATTTTAGAACAGAATGGTCTGTTTCAGGAAGCATAGGAGGAGCATGGTCAGTCAGTATGAAATATAGCTTTGCGTGTATTTGCTATCTTTTGGTTCTGTTGCTCTGCGAATGAATATCCTGGTAACAGGTGCGCACTGAGATGGATGGTAGAAAAGTAGTTTCATGTTGTGGTGGTGTAGATGAGACACAGTGGCGGTATTGGTATTAATGTGTGTACGCGTGTTTGATATAACCCGTTATATTGCACATGATGTGAGTTGTCTGCGTTTTGTTCTTTTTTTGGTGTAGAGAGACAGGAACATATATTTTGATATGCTGACTTATGTGTAACTGATGGTGTGAGTAGTCCATTCATATTGTCCATGACCATGTATAAGCGTGATTGGAATACGGAGTCAATCGCTTCCCCTCTTGACGTGACCTTCCATAGCTTCATGCTTTTTGCAAGCATTTGGCGCTTATCTAGGGAGGCATCTCTGGTGGTTCCGGAGTCGTTACAATAGCGCGGAAATTTCTCCGAATAGCGATAATATCAATAATCTCTGGGAGATTGTCCGATCTTTCTAGCTCCACCGATATATCCGGACATATCTCTACGCCAGGGGTAACTGGTCTCGACTCCAATGATGAGAACACTGATAGAGTGTGGGTGCTCCAAGTTTGCCTCTCCATATCTTCGTGCACCTTGTCACTGTCACGGAAACAAGCCTGGCCAGCAATCCTCTCAAGCTCACAAGGGAGCGATATGAATTCGGCATCGTCGTTGGTTTCGCGTTGTGTTTCAATTACAGCCATATGCGTTTCTTGTTCTGAAATGTTCACACTGACGCCGACCGCGGGCTGGTCGATGTTGGCCAACATGGGGTCAATTGCCATGACGTGGCTTTCGTCCGGGATACAATGCCCATGTTACGCTATCGAGCTACCGGCCACGCAATGCACTAGTCGATGCGTCGCAAAGACGCAGTGGGCTTGATGCGACGACTCGAGACTGCATTGACCATCTGTGATATGCTTGTGCAATGGGCTACGATCTACATAGGTAGGTCTAAGCCCTGGATAGCGACAAGAGCACCGGCAAAACACCTGTTTGAACCTTGATTATTAGTTGCCTTGGCTTCTGAGAGAAGGATGATGGGAACTACTCGCCTCTGGTCTTTGCCTCTGAAGCTCACTTATTGAGTTCTGACGAACATACCCAGTGTTTTCTTGGATGTTTAATATATGATCCTGATGATACAAACGGGGAAACTGCACGGCTCTATTGAAAGTCGTGTAAGATGGCCATTGTCTGATACCGTAGATATCAGTTTTCATGAGTGGACAGACCCCGTACAGCAGTTTTATACTCTTATATTGCTTGTCAAAAAGAGCATGCTGTTGATTCTGCTCTAGTTTGGTAAGCGGTATACTCGAAGCAGGAACGGCAAATTTTGCTTGCGATGGGAGACCTAATTTCTGAACTATCATCGGTAGGCGTATCTCTTTATAACCGTGTCTCCCAGGACTTCCGATCATCGTGTATAGTTCATCATCTCGCGCCTTGTGGCTAGGAACCCAGCAGATCGTTGATATGGGCACCGTCAAGAACTTGAAGGTAAACAGGTTGAAGACCCTCAGGTGATTGGGCTTCAAATGTTCGTTCTGTTCCAGACAAACCCACACAGGGAAATCATCCGCATCCTTTCGGGAAACAACAACCCCGTGCGCAGGATAGCGATATTCTCTCCCAGTATTATCGTCCCCAAGCAATGCTATGTCATTGATGACATGAGGCTCTCCCATGTATTCTCCTTTAATCTCACGGATGATGATAGGAGGTTTGTATGCCTTCAACTCCACATTGGGAGATTGGACAAGTGAATTGGTCTTCAGTGAACGATAGTTCCGTACCAAAGTCCGAAATAGATTTTCACACGCCATGGTCATTTGTCTTGAAAGGACTGCCAACTTCTCAACGAATGCGCATTAGGTGACCCATTCAATGTGGGCCATTGAAGCAAGCAGCTGGCTCACCGTGACAGGCTTGGTTGTTTTTTCGAAATCAGTTGATGCTCATCTAAGTTCTCTATGTGGCAGAGTCCAATGACCGGTGAAGATAGGGTGATACCTGTAGGGAAGTGTAGGCATGCTAATATCCTCGATGAGGTGGTGCAGAGGAACAAGGGTTGAAGGTTGTTGTAAACTGTATGGTTCACAGAGAGATAACAAGTGTACGGACAGTCACTTATAAGTTGGGGACGACGTGTGAGCTGGATCTGAGAGTTGGGATGCTGAACATAATACTGACAACAGATAAGCCGGCCCCTAGGGTGTGATTGTATAATAATAAATGACCTATCCATTAGCCCAGTAACCCGGCCGGTGGGAGTAGGGTCGGCTTTTTATTGGCTTCAGATGCATTGTACAATATAGGCTTAGTGGTGACCGAACATGATACAGATGCAATCCCTCTGCAGCTTCAGCTTGCGGGGATGCGTTGAGCTTACAGGCCACGACAAAAATTGTTGGTATAGCCCATCTTCACCGCCAGAGCGTGTGAGGAGAATGAGCAGAGCCGCATTAGCAAGACGCGGCGATGGTATCCAGATCCACCAGGGGTTGACCGGGAGCCGTGCAGCTGCAGAGCTACGCATAAGGTCATACGCAGAAACACGAGTCGCTGACCTAGTTACGCGCTTATGATATCCTGGGAAGAGAACAGGACAATGTTTCTCCTTTCTGGCGCTTCCTAACCTAGTCACCCTTGCTCTTTGGCGGGGTTACCATAGGATCAGCTGCTGCCTGCTCTTGCTTTTCTTTCCGTAGCAGAACTTTGGCAACCCACTCCTCCACTTCCCGTTCCGCCTCCTCGTCTGTCCTCCCTCCAGAAGGGCCAATGTGTTTTCGAGCCATCGTCCTCAAATCGTCGATGCTTGAAATGTCAAAGGCCCAAGATATACCACCGGTCATCATAATTCCAAAACCTAGAACGTTGAGAGTTGCTAGATTGAGGGCCTCGAGGGCGATTAGAGAACTATCTGAGCCGATCTTATCAACTGGACGATTGCTTTGGGTATAGAATTTTGGTATTGTGGCTATGCGCTTCCTAACTATTGATCGTCTTGTAATCAAGGTAGCGAGAGAGAGAAAGCCGGCGCCGGCGAAAAATAGCCCCAATTGTTTCAGCGAGCGTTGTGATAAAATGGACGATCGGGGCTCTTGTAATGGCGATGCGGCGGCGGCAGCAGGTGTCTGAGCTATGGCATCGAGCTGAAGGGGTTGAGGAGGCTGTGAATGTGGCTGCAGAGGGGCTTTGGATGCCGACTCGCTGTCTTTTGGCATGGTCATAGTCGTACCAAATGACCACATTCTTGCTTCTTGCTTCTGGTTTTGATTCTCGTCAGGATTCTCGGCCGCTGCAACTCTAGTTTCGCCTTTCCTCCTCTTCAGGTACGGAGTGGCCGGCAATTCGTGGGACTGAGAACGAACGTATGGGAGCGAATGCGATACAGAGGCGGCTTGTATGAGCGACTACTGTACTTGGAGAGCGAAAGTCGAGTTGCGTACCGACGAATTGGCGTTGAAAAAGTTTAGTACGTGACATGCGATGGGGTCGACCGGCTTCTGAGATAGGAAGCCGTACTAAATATTTCCCCAGATTTATTATGGGGCGCTTGGTTTTTTAGCACTCTGACCATGTGGGCTGTCTTATCCACCACGGCATATAGACGCATATATTCATCAACTAACGGAATAGAGCCCTCTTAAATACATATATGCACCCAGGTAGACTGGCACGCACGTCCCTATTGCTTTCTCACAGGATCGTTCAAGACGATCCAGGCCACAATCTATCTTCTGTCGCCATAGTTTGGCTGTAATGTGCAGTATAGTCGTCCGACGCTATGATTGAATGCTCTGCTAGGACGATGCTCGATCTACTTAAATTATCAGCCAGCCTGTCTAGCACCACTGTGTTTGCGAGAGGTACCAACCTACCCAATATAAGACGCTGATGTCTCAGAAAATTGCTACTTGGGGTCTTGGTCGATTGCAGTCGGTTCAATCTACAGTGCCCCCTGGAATACTTGGCTGTGCCATGTCAACTTGTCGTAGCGCATCAAGAGGAGCCTTTGTCGATGACAGTCTTGAGTCGAGGATGAACTGCTGTAGCCATTCATCCTGGTATAGAGTGGCTTCCCACTCGTTCCAAGTCTCCTGACAGTCGGGCATGACCAGTCTAAGAATACGCACCGACAAGTCCAGCACCGGCCAAAGGCTCTCCAGCTTGAACAGCAACCAGTACTCGTCAGGCGGTGTGTGGTTGGTGTGGTCGCTATGGTCTTCTGGAGATTTCGTTCGATACACCTCGCTCCAATGCACAGGCTCCTCGTCATCGTATTCCTTACTCTTCTCTATAATCTGTAGTGCCTGGGTAATGTGAGATACGCAGCTCCGAAGATGGTGCTTGGTCCCTAAGCGTGGTTGATACTGGGCAGCTCCATACGCCAGATATGCTCTAGTCATAAACTGCCCGTGTATCGCTTTTCGTTCAGGTTTGAGCCGCGAGCTCTCGACTTCGACATGGAGACGTGAATAATACTCCGTGATGTAAGCCAATGGCAACATCCCGGCAAGCGGGAACTGAACACAGAACCAGCCTAATTCACCGTGATGACGATAGTTCATCTCCAAATCAGAGACCTCCTCTTTGAGAAGCCTCTCGATAAAGGCCAGCGCATTGGAGAATTCAGTGAGATGGCTCATAATCAAATATGCGTAAATGGATCGCTCCTTTCCTAATCGTATTTACTGATTCTTTCTCAGCATTCTTGAGAGAGATGAGGGCACCATCTCTCAGCCTGATGAAAAGCGACAGACAAGGTAGAAAATCATACAGACCTAACAATAGGTATATTCTCCCGTCGAGCGCTTTTGGAAATTGCGGTCTTTAGTGAGTACAGTATTAAAGAGCATGAGAATCTGAGTGACGACTAAACGCCGTTGACTCCACGATATACAATGTACACTACAGCACACAGAGGCGCATTTCCTAGTCTCAATATTCATTAAGCGACCTAAGCCTGAACTTCCGGCGTTCATGGCGACATGTAAGGTAGGCGTTTGTACCACCAGATTTGATGTGTTGATCTCCATCTGCTTGATATCCTACCCTGCTCTCATGTAACCTAACCCCTTCCCTAGGATGGGGAGGTGATTGTCGACAAGTTGCTTACGGCTACACAAGTACCATCTAGGTTCTACAACATCTGCTTGACAAGAGAAGATTTCAACCAGAGGCGCGGGAATACCAGCAGGAGCTGAGGTATCTGCGTCCTATAAGGCCAAGGTAAAGGTATGTAGCGGTAAGTGGAGAGCCGCCCCTCCCCCTCCCATATACACATATACACGACGGTTCTAATCTAGGTACTAGTGTTTGTGGAGAAAAGATTACTCAACAAGCACACACTGATTCAACCCGTCAACGTCCCGCGCGCCGCGCGCTCATGCATACATATCATACATGCATGCATAGACGCAAGCGGCAGCCATCATAGGTACTGTATATTGATATCTCACTTACTTTTGCTTCCTGCACGTTTCAGTTGTCTCCAGCCACCCGACAGCGCGTGACCAGCCACTGTCGTAATATCAACGACAGCTACTCTGTCTGGCCTACGCATGGGCAGCATAAGACATGGGGAATAAGAACAAAGTTGTTGGGAGGCAACCCTCGTCGCATAATAAGAGATCCGATACCGCATGCCGCCATGGAGGCACTGAAGCAGCCGCTTCCATAAGTTGGCCTCCGTTCAAGCCCAAATTGCCGGTTACTCAGCTTGTCCTGGACGCGCCTATCCCAACATTCCAAGACCAGATTGTCTTGCTTCGGCACTTCTGGCCAAAGAGTTTATGTCGGGATTATCTCGCCTTCCTGACCAGCCTCCCTTTAACAACGACACCTGGGCGACCGAAGCGGGGTGAGGCAGTCCGAGTCAACGATCGCTTCCAGATTCAAGACACCCATTTTGCTCAGAGACTGTGGCTTCAGACAGGGCTGAAAGATGCGATATTAGAAGAATCCGCCAAGCATCTGTGGTAAGGGGACCTTGGATCGGAACTGTATGTACTCTGCACACCGCTGATGCCGACGGCTACCTAGGGGCGGTGAGGTTGTAGGACTCAACCCTAACGTGCGAGTTTATCGCTACTCCAAAAACCAATTCTTTGATTGTCACTGTATGTGGAATCGTCCGATATGATATTCTCACATTGCGTTCCTATTCGCCTTCTCCAGCCTCCTTCACTTATGCCCATCAGACTCTTCAGGTTACTCTAATCCGGGGCAATGTCAATAATCTAACAGCATGTCGCTATCCGACCAACCTCTCTCAATATCCCTGGGTGTACCCCAGAGTGGTTGGGTGGCTTGTGTATCCATTGGTTTCCCTGCAACACTCCTTACTGGCCCTCAACATCACCAATTATATTCCCTGCATGGGATACCGTCATACGCATGATGGCTTGCACAGTGGCAGCCCATGTGGTATTTAGACACTTAGCTGATCGCGTTAAATCCCGATTATCATCTGCTCAGGATTGTGACACTAAGTATGAGATACAGACGACGATTCGAACATGGTTGATGTTCTGTCTGACGACGGGTCACAGAGCATCCGTGCCAAGACGACTTGGACAGCGTTGCTTTATTTAACTTCGGCAGCCGATGGCGTTTCGGGCGGAGAAACAGTGTTCTATCCCAACGATCGAAAATTGGAACAAGAAGCGCTCGTCGTAGCGCCGGAAACTGGAATGCTTCTACTCCACAAGCACGGCGACAACTGCTTACTAGTAAGTTTGAATCGTACCACTTCTTCGGCCCGGTGTTTGTCATGGTTTTCATTTGGGTAACATGCTGAGAAACTCGGCTCGGTTAGCACGAGGGCCGCGAAGTCCTATCCGGCCATAAGTGGATTATCCGAACCGACCTTTGTGTCCGCAGGTGAAGGCAAATACAAGGCGTAAATCTATGCAGTCTTCATGCGCTTTGTGAACGATCTGGTGACAGTTTCATGGCGTGAATGCGACTATTCGCTGCAATGAAAAGCCGATTACCGGGTTCACTTCGTTGGTAAGGCTCAATTAGGCCGCCTGCATCAATTGGTAAGGTGGTAGTGGCACGTTCATTTGAAGCACGTCCCGCTCGCTTCGGTACAGACACAGGCGATAGATTCTACAGCCAACACACGTTACCAGACCGAATGCTACGCTGATCCGGGCACGCAACCCCTTGGATTCGAAAACTATCACATTACTAGCATGTTGATATTGCCTGCATAGCCGCTTAACTTGCAAAGTTACGCGCTTGCCGTCCCCGCCTAGTGAGGGCTACCATGCTTGCTGTCTCTATTCTCGTGAGACACGTTGTACTATACAATACGTGCTACATCGTCCTGTGAGCGTGATTCGCCACACCGAAGCGCAACATGTAGTCCCCGGCTCGAGCGTCATGAGATTTCTTCATGCCGTTAACTGCGAATCTAGTTACCAATCAACATTTCTTATGGGTTTTGTGGCGTGGTGTCGTAATTTCTACCGCGAAACAGATGACAAACAATCGTCGCTATTGACTGAATGCCGACATTCAAACCCCTTCTGACCAAGTTCGCACAACCTATTATCACCAAGATAATGACTATGGATAGGTCAAATGTGTGGTTCTTCATCTGAAATTCATACACCGATATCCAATCTAGTTGGTTTCTCCAACTACGCCCTCATTTTCTATCTTGACCCCCGGTTTTTGTAACATTTATACCCCAGAGGACTTATTCCTGTTAGGATGGCTTGCATTTCACTTACAGTTATGTATACGATGTATCAGATCGTTCATTGCTACGGAAATTCGCAACCCTGTGGTAGCTCACACAAAATTGCCTGTCCCAATATTGTTACTGGTTCAGAGCCTGACCTGTGTACGTGCGCATAGTTGACGACGGATTCAGCTTTCTTTGACAAGTTTTCGGGCCGTCCTCCCTATACAGGTAGCAAGTTCTAGACCCCTCGATGTATTTGTCTGTCGTCGTTACTCAACAAATCAATCCCGTTGTATTATCTTAATCACACCAGCGATAGGCAATTGGTATGAGCCATATCGGGTGATGTACAAGTCATATATTACAGGCTAGCATCGATACACCACCTTTTACCTACTGACAAGTGAACGCGCAACACGGGAAAGACGGTCACAACAGTAGCTCTGTATGTAGATAAGACCACAGAAATTGTTCTCTATTGACAAGTTAGACGAGTTGCCGTATGATCACCTGATGATGTATCTTGATATGGAACTGGCGCTGAACGTACCGCATAAACAGATGTAGTTACATACCTAAGCATACTACTTAGGTATCAGGAAGAAGTAATCAGATATGGCGAATTATTACATTGATATTGTTGCATAACGTCTTCCTACGCTCTTACTGAATGAAAGGCAATCGCTGGAGCAGATGCAGTCTCGATGGCATGCCCGACGCACCAACACTATGAGTGAGATCCGATTTCGAATTATTCAATTCTGAGGATTAGAGCATTAGGCATTGAGAGCTCACAGAATCAACTGAAGCACCATGTTCATATGAGTGTATTCTAGCCAACGATTACTGATGATCGGCTGTTGAATCCGATAGAGAATTAAACATGCTCATCTCTGATACACGAACAAAGTCAATTAGTCTTACTTATAGTGCTGCCTATTCTCAGACAAGGGTATGTATTTAAGCATGAGTAGATCAGTACTAGGTACATTCACAATCTGTGAGGTGTTTTCAAAGTCAATGACTACCCCTTGCGAGCTCACGAATCATCACGAGCCACGCATAAGAAAGAAATCACGTAGAAAGAATCATGAAGGAATCTGGAGATTGACTAGAAATGCCGGACCATTGTAAATCATGTTCATTTTGAACAAAGAATGTTAGTTGGGAAGTAGTAGCTTGTCTCAGGATGGAGATTCTGCCAGATACCATATGCATCGGTCAACTTCTCTAGTCTACCTTCAAGTATCTAGAAACGACAGAACTGTTGTAGGCAGAATACGACTTTATCTCTATATAAACCTGCAATTTCCTGGCCAACGAGTGAATAGAATGAATACAAGCATCATCAACCCTCTCTCAACAACAGACTATCATCCAGCCACAATACATCAACAACTACACAATGGCACTGGTAGCATTAAGCAAGAATAAGCCTACCATGGACTTTGTCTACAATTACGGAAGACCCCAAGGCGAATTCGAGCAAGCAACCGCCAACCAAGGCTGGAAATGGATGCGCACCAACACCATCGACGCCACCCGCCGAGCAGATCTCCGGCCTCGGCGCCAGCGATGTCTTCGTCCACCGCAACATCGCCAACCCGGTCGTCAACACGGACCTCAACGTTATGAGCGTCATCGAGTACGCCGTGTGCCACCCCCACGTCAAGCACATCGTCGTGTGCGGACACTACGGCTGCGGCGGTGCCAAGGCCGGGTCGACTTCAACCCCGAGGGAAAGGCCCGTCCAAACAAACAGAGAGGCGAGAAGTCCATTGTAGACGCTAGCCATGTTTACCCGCTGATTCCGGAGGACTTTCTGGCGGCGCTTTCGGAGCGGCTTGAGCAAGAGTGGCGGAGACCGAGCTGGTGGGAGCGAAACATGTGGACGATGATATCGCTCGTTGTAGCCGTCGCGTTTGCGTATTACGTTTACTGCATTGGCAAGTTTATTGTTCTCATCAGTTAATACATTGGGCAGTCTGCACGACAATGCGTAGGAGATAGGTAGTAGCTGCGGAAGCTTCGAGATGGTTCGGATGGGGTTGATTCATTGCTGGGGATAACCAACGCATCGACATGCGGTGATCACGACTCAAAGATGTGCTTCACGCCGCGTTCGGGAACTGAGGCATGGGACGGTGGTTCAGATTGGGCATAAGTTTCATTATGATTTGATAGACTGCGGGTGGCAATTTCATACTTGGTTTCGCCATTTCATCAAGTTTAGACATGGCTACACAGAGTCGGTGCAGGTGATCTTAGAGGTTAAGATAACCTTAATCACTAAAGCGCCGGCTCGCGCACCAAGAATATTAGTTTCGGTATACGCCGTCCTGCGAATCCTTCCCCTATATTAAAGCTCATTTCCTCAATCTCTGTAGAAAACCCGCATTTCTCGTATAGACGTCTTCCAGCTGGCGTGCCTTCGACAACGGCTTTCACTCCTGCCTCATCGGCAGCCCTGGTCCCCCACGAAACAAGTGCCGCGCCAGCACCCAAGCGCTGATAGCGAGGGTGGACAGCTAGGAGCTCTAGGACTGAAAGACGCGCTCGGCTCAGCTATGTTTTCCAGACTAAGTTCAGCTTGGTGTGTTCATGTCTACTCACCATAGACGCCATTTCCATTAGAGTCTCTGACAGCTTGCGATCGCGGCCTGACGTAGTCTTCCCACAGAGCAGTCATGAATTTGCGATCGTTCATGTCTGGCCAGATCTCTTCGACGTTCTCGGCGTCTTCAAGTTTCTGAGGCGGGATAGCTTTCATATGCGTCCAGACAGCCAGCCCTACTATATGGTCTTTACTTGTCCTGTCGCCATCAACAGATGTGACTGCCTTCAGGAACACGGAATCTCGCGACGCATGTTTCCATGCCAATAAGCGGCTGGAACCTTGTACTTGACCGTATGAGGTATCGTGATTTGGAAAATAGATGTCGACAAAGGGTGCGTCGTGGCCGAAGGTTTCGGAAACAATCTTAAAGCATGCTGGCATATCCCCATCTTCAATCAACGCAATGTCTATCCTATTTGTGCTACTCATGATGGTGTGCAGTATCTAGGCAGTGGATGGTGTCGCTAAATGATATGATGAAAGAGAGTCGGTATGAAGCAAGGAATTTGTGGAAGCGGGGTGGTATATTACATGGAGGTTTGATGCGTGCTGATTGCTGCATTAGCTGATCGCTAGGTGTGACTCATATATGGGGGGATGGAGCGACCGTATTTCGTTTAATTCTAGCACAAGAGTATTATAAAGCAAGTATGTTCGGCACGAACACAATCGTGATGAAGGAAGGTAGCATCAAGTTACAATGAACTGGATATAAAATTTAGTTCACGATATGCCTACCTACCTCATCACCGGTGCGACTGGCCAACAGGGCCGTGCCACGATCGATGCCCTCCTCGCACGAGGCGCAAAGGTGCACGCTGTTGTCCGAGATCCGATGAAAGCAGCTTCTCTCGAGTTGGTAGCTCTGGGCGCCACTCTCTTCAAAGGGGACAATGACGATTTCGACGTATTTCGTAAGGCGGCTCAGGGATGTGCTGGTATCTTCTTGAATGTCATGGAGCGGCCACAGAATCCGGAACCAGAGAAGCAGGTAGAGGGAATCCTCGTGGCGTGTAAAGATGCGGGCCTCCAGCACGTAGTAGTGTCGACTTCGAGCTGGGCTGGTAACCGAGAGAAGTGGGATATTCCGGAGACCAAGACTGGGAGCATATTTGCCTTCAATGAAGGTGAAGAGCTCATTGAAGACGCTGTACGACGTTCCGGGCTTCAGTATTACACCATTCTTCGACCCTCGTGGTTCCATTCAAACTACCTAGTCCCAGCAATAGATTCATTCTATCCTGAGCTTCGGGAGTCAGGCACACTTGTACATTCATACGATCCGGGGGCTACATTTCCCCACATCAATGTGGAAGACATCGGCAAGTTTGCAGCCATGGCACTATCAGACCCGGCCAGATTCAACGGTCAAGAAATCGAGCTGTCCTCAGAGAACCTTGGTATTGAAGCAGTGGCGGAAGCGATTGGGAAAATAACAGGAAAGCAGCCTACTATTAGAAGAGCAACGGCCGAAGAGCCCGGGAAACCATCTCACATCACACAATGGCAGATCTGGGCAAACTCTGTGGACCTCAGAGTCGATACTGAAAGCTTGAAGCGACAATTTGAATTTCGATTTACCACTCTTGAGGAATATCTGGTGCAAGAGAAGGAACAACGAGGGCTAGAGTACTTTTAGTAGAATCGCACTGGGGGTCTTATTTGAGGCAAGTTATTGGAGTAGCACTGAGTTGTGTTAATTTGTAGGGTCCGTGACTGCGCTCAGAGATCGATGAGGTTGCTAGGAATTAATGTTTATCAGTGCCAAGTAGCGCCGAGACAACCACAAGCTTGAGATACACATGTAAATTATGACAAAAGAAGATGATGTAAGACCGAATGTGAAGAGGGTGAAATCTGTACATGAAAGACATACCTTGGTTTGACCGGTATCATTAATGTCGGCATTGTGTAACGGAGTCACAATTTACGTTGATGAGACCATGGACACTTGTCAGGATTATATATAGACGTCAATATAAGACGAAACTCAAGTTCGATTGCTTCTCACTGCTATATGATGAACCGTCGCAACTTTACTCTTGCTAACAAAGCGATATCGTTGCAATTCAGACTAGCTAAGTCTCTACTTGTTGAAGGTAGAAGTTTGATGAATTAGCTCTACTCTGCGATATCGAACTGATCTTTGGTAATAACTTATTCGATGAAAGCCTAAGTTCTCATCGCTCAGAAGCTTTAGTTGACAAATAATTATACATATCGCCGACTAGTCGCTCTGCTAGCAGTGAAGCTGTAACAGCAGCCAAAGAGATAACAAACGTATTCCCCCCAAAACGCCCCATTTTAGCCCTTTAAGATCATCTCAGTAGGTAATCTTCGGTTACATCAAACGGTAAAGCCATTCGCCCATGCTCAAATCTCATCGCTATCCCTTCTATGCGGATCTTTGTTGTCTATTACCGGGCTTGCATTCGAAGGTTTGCGCGTCCGAACGCCATAGAGGTCGTGGCTATCCGTGACTGTTGTCTCAGTAACTGACAAGGCTTCTAGAAGACGAGCACGGAGTGTTTGAATCGGTTCACACGGCACAACCTTCTGTTGCATTTTGATGAGGTGCGGGAGGTAGATCGAGGGGGCTCGGTTTGGGTATCGGAAACGTTCGAGGAGAAGCCGAGATATATGTGCAGTAAAGACGTGCATATTATTTGGGTCGGGGTATTGTGTATAGAGTAGCCGTGTCTGCCATGAAGCACACAATACATATGTTAGCTTCTGTGTAACTAGCAAAAATAGCAACGTACCACAACCACCGGTCCATCGGGAGAACGCTCTTCTCTTTGGGCTATGGCAACCATGATAGCCGTAATACAGGCTATACAGCTCTCATTAATGTGAGGAGGCGAGGGAATGATCTGGGTGGAATTGACGTAGAAAAACACCATGGGCCCAAGATCGAATTTGTACGCTTGTGACAATGCATGCCAACGCGGCCCAACGACCAGCCCTATTATCCTCGCACCGTGGAAAGAGAAGACAATTCCATCGTTGCTAGGAGGCTTGCCGAGGTCAACTTTGACGTCTTCAGATGCGTGTGGTTCCATAAATAGCAGCAGGTAGTTCAAGGCCCTGACCTTCGTCCAAGGGTTCCAACTGCAAATAAATTGTGCTATCAACCTTTGCAGGGAATCTTGTGGCACAACGGGAATGATTGCATGGAGGGAAGGCCGGTCCTTGTTTCGGTATTCTATTTCAGCATCGCTTAGTAGACCAAAACCTAACGCCATCAAATGACCCCAGGTCCATCGAGAGGGCGATTTCCAAAGGGACCTATTGCGGCCAACGACAGCGTTGAGAGAATGACTGCGGAGATCGATGGTATGGCGTTTCGCACGAACATGAGCGCTGTCAATAGTATCTAGAATAGTAAGATCCATTTAGATAATCTGATTGCCAAAGGTAATGAAGATGTTGTTTGATCAGAAGCAATCTCTGTCACTTGTAGCGAATCTACGTCCGTCACATTACCAGGCGCTACAGGAATCACTGCTGTCGACGTCTATACCTACATAGACCACTACGATAGGAAGTCGGTGCGAGATGATACAGCCAGTGTGACTGGAAGGTCATAGGAATACATACTGCTTTGTCATGGGCATGTGCGTTTGAAGTTTAAAACACAACTACAAGGAACACACTCCGCTTAGACACTTGCCGTGCTGTATCGATCATGATAGACTAGAAAGAATACAGGCTGAAAAACAAGAAAATCAGGATGGTTTACATCGAATGATGAATGTCCAGATGGTATAACCAAACCTATTAAGATCACACTCGAACCATGCCATCGCATTGTCGACGCTTGACAATCATACACTACCTACCTGGTACTATTGAGTGTATTCATCTAACAGCAAATATGCACCAAAAGCTCAGTATTATAAGCGGATTTATTCAACTATAATGTACATTACTACCCTAGCTAGAGAGCTCCAGCAGTCGTCATATCGACATCGCAGAGCAACAATCATGCCGCCCAACTAAGTAGACCACAGGAGCACACGTCAATCCAGACCAGCCATGGAGTCCCTAGCGACCCGGATACCGCGCCACGTTCTCGCGCGGCACATAACCCGGTCCCTGACGCACCAATTCCCCAAACCCGGGCCCCGCCGCCCCTTCACACGCACCGCACCCCGACACAACGCCCGCCAACCAGGCGACGACCCGAACTTCACGTCGATCCTCGACAACCCCCCGGAGCTCGTGCGCGCCGGCCGCCGGCACGGGCCGGGCCTGATCGTCCTCGCTCTGATCCCGATCACCGCGCTCGTGCTGGGGACGTGGCAGGTGCAGCGGCTGGGGTGGAAGACGGAGCTCATCGCGCGGTTCGAGGACAGGCTAGTGCAGCCGCCGCTGCCGCTGCCGCCGCGCGTCGACCCGGACGCCATCCACGACTTCGACTTCCGGCGCGTCGTGGCGCGGGGCAGGTACAGGCATGATCGGGAGATGTTGGTGGGCCCGCGCATGCGCGATGGCGAGGACGGGTTCATGGTCGTCACGCCGCTGGAGCGCGAGGGCGACGGGAGGGGGAGGGGGACGACGACGGTGCTGGTGAACCGCGGGTGGGTGTCCAAGAAGTTGCGGCGGCAGAGGGATAGGATGGAGGGCTTGCCGACGGGGGAGGTGGTTGTGGAGGGTTTGCTGAGAGAGCCGTGGAAGAAGAATATGTTTACGCCTGAGAATCGCCCGGACAAGGGCGAGTTTTACTTCCCCGATGTCAAGCAAATGGCCGAGTTGGCGGGGAGCCAGGCCGTTTGGGTGGAGCAGACCATGGGTAGGTTACGGACACGACTATCTTCACATTGATCATATCCGGACTGCGACGCTTTGATATGGAGTTTGTTTCCGTGTCCATCAGTACATTTACTGACGCTTGCTTGCTACAGAGCCCGATTTGTTGCAGACCCTTGACATGCAGGCAAAGGGTATCCCTATAGGTAGACCCGCCGAGGTCAACCTGCGTAATAACCATGCCCAATACATTTTTACATGGTATGCAGTCCCGTCATGCCTTCTTACAGTACTCCTTGCAATGCAATTCTAAAACTCCATTAGGTATGGATTGGCGATCGCCACATCCATCATGTTCTACATGGTCGTCAAGAAGCCCCCAACAGACATGTCCCGTCGTATAAGAATGAACAAGGAATGGTCATAAGCAGACATTCCCGTCAGATCTATGAGGCGTATCTAATGAAATCGAGGTGTTTACCTTGGCTTCAAGTCACTTCTTCCTGCTCTTCGTCCTCGACATCTATGCGCCTCGCCTTCTTCCGTGGGCCTTTACTAGGTATTGGTACGGGCATACGCAGCTCCTGTAAAAGTTCTCTGGGTAGATGACGCTGAGCTAACGCAAAAGGCGTAGTTGAAGCGTTTGTCTGCCGTTGTCTGTACCATATAGTATCAACATCTGTATTTTATCAAAGAAGGTATCACTGTAGGAAGGGTGTATAAAAACATACCTTCGCATGAGAGTAATCATGTCACTCTCATCGATAGTCTTACGGCCTGCATGCTTGGCATATGCCGAGAGGTCGTCGCCAAGTTGTTCGAAAAACCACTCCGTCGCTTGCATTATGGCATCTAATGTGTCCGGGCTGATTTTGCCTTTGGTTCCTGCAGTCTTTGCACAGGTCATTGCTAATCGCTTTACCACATTTGTGGGAAGGGAAGGATATTCTATCCCATATCTCGATATCTTCTTCCCTTTCTTTCTCTTCAAGCCCCTATCCCGCACTAGGCCAGCTGTGTGCGATGATGTTGTTGTCTCCTCTACCGTACTGATGTTGTTTTCTGGTGCCTCGTCGACTTCATCCTCAACATCAAAATCAGGCATGTCCATAGGCTCGTTCACATGATCGTCGTCGTCATCATCATCATAATTCATGTTATCCAGCGGGCCGTTATCGGCATCCAAATCTTCCAAACCCTCTGTCGCTGTGGGATCTCGTACTGGAGACTCGACAGGGGCCATAACGAACGTAGTTTCGTTCCCTACATCGGGGATGTCTATAGCCCCGAACACACTATCGCCACCAAGTGTTTGTCGTCTCGCTTCATCAGCCTCCAGGCTATATGTTTGTCAGCTCCATATGAATGGGAAAGAATGTTAGCAATAGTTGGATTAGGAAACTAACCGTTCAATAATAGCCGGTTCTTCCATCTCCACCTCTCCACTATCCTCGAAAGCCGGCGGAGGGAAGAATCCAGAGTCAATGCCCACGTCATCACTGTGTACTTCTGGTCCCATATAATCGCTATATCTCATGCTACCCAGACTGCTCCTTATGGTATTATCCATTACTGCGCGGCGAGGAAGCTCGATTGACTGCATGGTGTAGTTGTCCTCCTCGAGTCCACTAAGCCGAGGGGGTTTCAGGTCATCATCATCATCATCCTCTTCAGGCCCAAGTGGCAGAGAGAATCGGGGACGTTCTATAGGGAAATCATCATCATCGTCCTCGTCTTCCTCGGGAAAGGAAGGCAAAGTCGCCTCATTATCTCGAGTTGAAGAGTCAGGCGACGAGGACGAGGAAATGACCCTGGAAGTTGGGGCGAGGGCCCGACTCAAGTTTCGTAAGAGATCCCGGGGCGTTTCGCGTTGTTCGCGCAAACTGCGCCGACGGGCTCTCCCCGGAGTAAACAGAGCGGCTCGCCGTTGGTCCATTGCCCGGATGGCGGCGCGGGCGTGCGGGGTGGTGACATTGTTCCGTCTAGCTGAAGCGGGAGGACGGCCTGATGCTGGTTCGGCACTGATGCCTCGTCGATTTGGGGTTGCGACCACCTTGGGAGTGCTCAAGGGTGCGAGTGAAGCACCCCGAGACGACCGGGGATTGATATTTGCCATGATTCCGTCTTGATGCTTATCTGGCAGGTGTGACTAAGGAATCGACGGCTAAGTGACAGCTTGTGATCATAACAGCTGTATAAGGCTCAGTAGTCCGTTGTTGGTGCGGTGTTGATGCGCCGGCATTCGTACTGTCTGCCTCAAGGCTCAAGATGGTAACTACGTACACGCCTAGTTGATGTTTGCTGGGGTAGATCAATTGCTGCGCAGTCCCGTACACTAATCGTCATCAATACATATAGCTGGACTATCATGTCATTGGACTTGGATCGAGCCGGACGGGACGCGTATGGATTCGAGGGGCACGTTGCGACGCGTCTGCGCGCCAACCTGCAGCAGCAGAGGCACTCTAGGTACATACTGTAGGTACAGTTAGGTACCTACCTACCTAGGTACCTAAGTATGTAGGCGAAGTGGGGGGCTAGCTTTGCCCCGCAAGGACAGTTAGCTCTATGCGCTAAGAGCACCTGGGCAATACTTGGGTACTTCTCTAGCTGGAAGGTGGGGTTAAGGTACCGGTTAAGGTACCTACCCTCGTCGGGACGGCACTCCTGCTTGTCTCAAATGGCGATGCATGTAGGTATCAATTCTGCATCGGGAACAACCACGACACCGCGGCACCACGACACCACAACCTACAGCCATCCAAACCCTCGGATCCCGGCGTTGGAGTCTTCTTGAAACCATTCTACCACTGTTTCAATAGAATGTTTCGAGATGCATATCTACTTCGGTACTTCTACCTAAAGCACATCTGGGTAGGTATCCGTCTACAGCCAAGCCAGCCTCCAAAATCATCCAGCTGTCCGAGAAGTATACACAAAAGCATATACAAAAGTACCTAGTATATATGGCCCTCCTGGTCTATCTGAGCTAAGTTACTACAATATCTGGCGTTGGCCGTTGGAAGACACAGTGATGACTATTCGATATGTATTCTAAGTAAGACATGTCTGTGTTCCTTATTGACCTAACCAGGCTTTGTGATGCCCGGATAAAACGTCGTCGTGCTGTTTCATTCGGTTCCTGCCGATTTGAAGTTTCCGAAAGGCTCTACCTACTCATGGCACGAAATCCATCTCACTACCCCCTCGATGACCATGATCGAATGCCTACTTCTCGTCTATGCTGGCGATCAATCTTTCAAAGTAGGAAGATCGTGGGGAATCGGCCATATCTGGATCACACTAGCCTGGTTCGTTATCATACCAGCAGGGTGCGGTACGTACCTATGGACTGTCTCTTCCATTCATCCAGTTGAGCCTTGTCGATATTCACATACCTATTGCATAAAGGCCCAAGCCCGCAATTCGACGGCTTGAAGACATACAGTTCACTGACCTTCGTCGAGTTTCCCATTTACATCTTTGGAGGGGTAGGGTATACAGTAGTTGGTATCGTGGAAAGCATATCCACGTCCCGCCACAAGTTCCCGGTGTCTGCCCAGTGAAGCAACAATTTTGATTTGCCGCCAGTTTTGAACCGTTGACGAATCAGAGTGAGCTAGTGTTCCTTCATTGTCCCTTTGGCACCCCTGATACACATGTCAGGGCTGTCAGGGCTGCCAGGGCAAGAAATGCTCCGGAGTTATCGTGTCACAAGCTATGCTTCAGATCAGTGATACCTACACGAGACTTATTGTAGTGTCCCGTAAGTAGGCGACGGCGTCTTGCTGGCAGATAGACCTCCTCCCCCTACTTCTGCCTACGCAGTATTATGGTGCGCCCTTTGATGAGTTCTAATATTGCAGCGTGAACTACTATGTAACACTTGATTCCTCAATAGGTGGTGAACACTATATGTGAGAAGTCAAGGTAAGGATCATGGATGGTGATTAACCAGGGTAACCCATCTCTATGAGCCTTTACAACCCTACAATGTACTGTGAGCAGGTAGTTTAGTGAAGACTACAGTACTAAACAGGTAAGATACTATCTATCTACAGCAGATCCAGGAACACTATTCCGTATCATCAAAGTCTATCGGATTGATTCGGTAGACGGACAATCGTACAAACACAGGCAGATACTTACAGTACCCTACCACTTTGAGACAGTCACATGCCCCAAGTCAGCCATTGTTTCGCTTCCTGTCAAACTACACCTAAACTCGGTTCAACAAGGCACTTCCTTACCTACAAAGTAGGTAGTGGGGGGTAACTGACGGCTCTCTTCTCGTACCACTTGTGGCATCTACGCAGGTTAGCAGCACGCAGATCGACTCTAGGTAGGATACTTGAGTTTATGTGTGTATGTGTGTACTACCGGTATGTAAGGATTATCTGAGATGTATGTGGTTTGCACCAAAATTGACCCTTGTTTGAGATAGGCGCACGGCTGTAACAGCTCCCTTAGTAAGTAAGTGCCTAGGTACAGTACCTACCTACCGTAGGTATTTCTAGGTACTTGCCTAGAGGTAGGTAGGTACTCATTGCCTCCTATAACCGCTATAAGCATCCGCTGTGATTGGACTTGCATTAAATTCCACCCTAAAGGTACCTTGCCTACACCCGGCCAGAGCCCCGGCCACACCAGCGCGGAGCAACCAGCTACACGGCAAGCCGACCGCCTTTCTTTTAAACTACTTCTTTTGATTCCCTCTTTGATCCTTGGAAGCTCCATCAATTCGAATCATCACACCAATCAACCCCCCAATCGACCTTTGATCAAATCATCTTGGGCCCAACCAACCAACCAATTAACCTATCAACCAGCCCGCCAGCCATTTCAATCTATCTACCATCTCTCGAGCTATCTATTCGTCTATCAATCTACCTGGCAGGTCGGCAGGGTCTCTCTCTACTTACATAGGTATTTATTTATCTATCGACTTACTTAGGTGGGTATTCCATTCATCTACGTATCTATCTAGGTATTCATCCAGTCAGCCATCAAATCATCGTCGTCCGCCGTATATACTACTATATACACACACATACTACCTGACCTACTTAACCATATTGTACCAACGGAAACTCGACTTTGCTCTCGCTCTCCTTGTTTTTGCTTCGGTTGAGAAGAAGTCATACTGAGTAGATGTGAGTAGATGTGTATGTGTCTACCTATGTAGGTAAGTAAGTATGTTTGTTTGTATGTGTCTATGTGTGTGGTGTGCCTCTCTTCTCTCTCCCGTTTTCCCCCTTCCCGTTCCCTAGTCTAGTTCCGTCGATGATACTCCCTGCTTGCGATCCGAGCGCTGCATCCCTCCTCCGATTTGACTGATTCAAATCGAATCTGACTTTCAAAAGCTGTCTCTCAGTTGTCAGTGGCATCCATCGTTATTCCAGTAATTACGGCCGCCCATCAGAGCCTTAAGCCAACCTTCGGGCTGTTTTTGTAGGTTGCTACCCTTCTTTTATTCCTTTATACCTCTATACCTATTTGATACCCATTTGTCTACTTACATGTAGTCTGCATTGACTTTCTTCCTGCTCCAGCCTCCAGCCTCCAGCTTCCAGCCGCTACCTGAGTACCTATGTAAATCATTTCACCTTCACAGTTGGCTATAACACGTCCTGCATAGTACGCAGCCAACAATCTCTGTTCTGCCTCTTCACCAGATTGGCTCTCGGACCTCGCAACCTTGTCGGAATCTCACGGGCTGCTGGTTTGGTACCCTCTCTACCAGCTACCATCATACAACTACTACTACCACTACTACCACTACTACCAATTCTGCTGCTGTCGTTCCTCTATCTAAGCCTCTGTCTTCCTCTATCTGCTTGACTACTGCTTGCCTTGCCTCCTTTCTTTGTCCACTCCCTCCCTAGGTACGCTACTCGGCTACTTCAGGCGCAAAAGCCTAAAGCGTAAGCAGAATCACACCTACCCGATCTCTCCTCACTTCTACCTACCTACACACTGATATTCCCTTCGCGTGCTGTTGGCACTTCTATTTCAAACAGGTATTATGCCTATTCCGACCCTTTGGTTCACTCACTGTCTTGTCCCCGATGGGTTCCACCTCGGCTGCAAGTGTAGCTGTTTAGCCCATCGGGCTACGGTCCCTACCTACATGTACTTAGCCTACTCTTAAGTACACCAAACCTCATCCAACCATCCATCATCCACCACCATCCATCCATCCATTCAACCTTCCAACCAATCCATCACTTATCCATCCTCCCACCCCCCCATAAAAGTGCCCCAAAGTGCCCCAAGCTGCCCCAAAAGCCAAAGCGCCTCCCGTGCACACCTCTTACATACTTCCATACTTTCTACTACCTACTTACCTACTAACCAGACTGTCTACGCCCCCCCTTATCGTTATGCTGTTTTATGCTGCCTAACTCCTGCAACCTGCATTACGCCACTCTCGTAATTTTTTGTGTCGAGCTCCCTCTCTGACCTTGTATTGTAGCTAACAACGCTCACTTTGAAACTGCCTTGACGCCTCCTTCTGTGCCTTGTTGCCCTTGTTGCCGCCGACCGTACCTGCTGATAAACCCCTGACCCTCGCCGATCCACGTCGCCGATATCCTGCCACCAACCCCCGATAATTCAACCTCCACTTGTTCTTCATCTATCTACCTACTTACATACACCCTTCGTGTTTGCTCGATAACTTCGAATCCACAAACCATGGCAGCTCCCGGTGTTCAGTCGTTGAAGGTATGCCGCTACTGCGTTTCCCCATGTAAACCCGCTTCAAATCGCGACCCGTATTGATCAACTCCGTATACAGTGTGTCGTTACTGGTGATGGTGCTGTTGGCAAGGTAAGCTCTGATTCTACAAACCAATCATCGCCGCTGCTTACGCTAAATCCATCTCCTAGACATGTCTTCTCATCTCATATACCACGAATGCCTTTCCTGGCGAATACATTCCCACAGTGTTAGTTTTCTATTACCCCCCTCCTGCTAGCAAACAATCACATGCCAATACTCGTCTTATTCTACTAGCTTTGATAATTACTCCGCGAGTGTTATGGTCGATGGAAAGCCTATTAGCCTTGGACTCTGGGATACTGCTGGACAGGAAGATTACGACCGCTTGCGCCCGCTATCATACCCCCAGACCGATGTCTTCCTGATCTGCTTCAGTATTGTCAGCCCACCCTCGTTCGATAACGTCAAGGCTAAGGTATATGCGCTCCTTTGAATCATCCTTGTCGCCAACCTACTAATCTGGTCGCATTCAGTGGTACCCCGAAATCGATCACCACGCCCCCAACATTCCCATCATCTTGGTAGGCACCAAGCTCGACCTTCGAGAGGACCCCGCCACTTTAGAAAGTCTCCGCTCTAAGAGGATGGAGCCCGTTTCTTATGATCAGGCTTTGATTTGTGCCAAAGAGATCAAGGCACACAAATACTTGGAATGTTCTGCATTGACTCAACGAAATTTGAAGAGCGTTTTTGATGAAGCTATTCGGTATAGGCCCCTCCCTATTCTTGCTACGAAAGATGGGATGAAAGACGACTAATCTCTGCCACAGTGCTGTGCTCAACCCTCGTCCTGTCCCTATGAAGGGAGGCGGAAAGAGTAAAAAGTGCACGATCCTCTAGATACCCTCGCCCATCCACAATATAATATTCTGCCCCCTAAGCAACAGATATTGGCAAGGAATGCCGGCGTTTTGGGGGTTCATATAGGAATGATACTTTTCATCTAGGAACCGACGTGACGAGGCGACTTCTTTGCATTGACCATTCACATCAGCCTCGCGTCCGTTCCTTTGTGCACACACACCACATACCCATCCATTTGGTCCGGCCGCAGTTTGGGGAACGGGACTTCTTTTAATGGATTCAACTCGGGGAGAGAAGAAAGAGAGCGGTAGTAACCCGTAGCAGTGAATTTGAGAAGCATTGGTTTCTTGCAGAAGGGCTCGTTTGTCCAGGAAGGTTAATACCCAGTTCTTCTGGTGTATCTCTCCGTACTCTTGGTGCTAGCCGAGTTGGAGAAGACCAGAACTTGATCATAGGACCTCCCTGCATGTTTTGATGCCCCCACTTGAATTTGATAGAAAGCGAGAAAGCTCTTATTGCAGCACAGCATGGAAGGATGCCACTTGACCATTATTTGTCAATACTGTAAATATCACAGCGGTACAATGGAAATGGAAAGTTTTTCCTAAGTCATAGTACTATGCCGTGCTTTTATTATATATTCAATATGCGATATACTTCATGCCTAGCGACACAGTCAACGTTCTATATTGCCGTTTTCAAGTTGTTTAGTATTTGCAATGTCATTTTGTTAGGAGAATTGGGTGCCTCTCTTCCCTAGACTCACAACGAAGGAAGCAGTCTGTCTCCCTCCTGGCTCTTAGCACTGTATCTACATTGTCGTCGTACTTTTCACAATCAATGGGTATCAAAAAAAAGAGTTTCCCCATTCCATCCGTCCCATTACGCCGCTCCATGAACGCGTCTCCGCCTACTTGGATGAACAGCATCCGGCGCACCAGATTTCCCTTCCCCTTCCCCTTCCCCTTCTCCACCACCAGCATTACCATTCTTCCTCCCCTTCTCCCGCTCCTTCTTATCCTTCAGCCGCGCCTCCTCCTGCGCCCGCCGCGCGCGCTCGTCGTTGAGCTTCTCGTTCTTGGCGCGGATGCGCTCGCGGCGGTACTCGGTGTTGCCGCCTCCGCCGGCGGTGAGCTCGACGTTGATCTTGCGCTCTTCCATGCCCTCACTCCCCCCTGCTCCTCCCCTCCCTCCTTGTTCACCCCATTTACGCGTCCCGCGATTTTTATTATTCGATTTTAAAAAAGAAGAAGAAGAAGAAAAAGAAGAAGAAGGGGGAGGACATTTGAAGACGCTGTGGTGGAAGAGCTTCAGCGCCGTCTTCATGTGGTCGTAGCGCGCGAACTCGACGAACGCGATCCCGCGCGACCGCGTCGGGTCGTGCTTCTGGTGCAGCAGCCGGACGGCGGTCGGGTGGACCGAGGCGAAGTGCGTCGTTATCTGCTCTGGCGTCGCGCTGTAGGGCAGGTTGCCCACGAAGACGATGAAGCGCTTTTTGGCGTCGTGTTCGCCTTCTTCTGCTGTAGCTGCGTCGGCTTCTGTCTTCGTTTCGGCGGGGGAGGTTTCCGTCTTTGGTGCTTCGGATGGGGTTGGCGTGGCCGAGGGCTTCTTTTTCTTCTCTTTTTTGCTTTTGGAGGAAACGGGTTTGGAATCTGTTGTTTCTGAGGTCTTTGCGGCGCCTGACCCCCGCTCTACGCCTGCTTCTGCTTCAGGGCCTGTGACATCTTGTGTTTCTTCCTCGACAACGTCCTTCTTCTTGTCCTTCTTCGACTTCTTGCTCTTCTTTCGCTCAAGCTTGGAATCCTCTCCGCCCTCACCAGCACTCGCACGTCTTCGCTTCTTGCTCGGTATCTCTATCGCGGTGGTTGCTGTGGTAGAAGTAGCGGGGTCATCGTCGTGAGACTTTCGCTTCTTAGAGGAAGGCATTTTACAGGTTTCTGGTCGCTATGGGAGGACAGTGAAGACTCTTGGGTGAGATAAGATATTTTCTAGAAGTGAGAGTAATAGTCTACTATTGCAAAAAGGTAGACAAGCAGAGATTGCGATTCACATTGAGCGATGGGAAATTCAGTTGATAGCAGATCAACGCTATTGATCCAGGGCGCGGCAGACAGAAAATTTTAGTGGGGCAGCGGCTCATAAATATGCGACCTTGTGGAGAGCCTGGTTAGGTGCATAACCTGGCCTGCCCGGCATTGGCGCCTTCACCTTGACTTATCACAAAAGAGATTATCGTTATTCTCTAGGACGTTTACTCTTCGTCTTGGTGTTTTGCATACATAGATCGATCTAGACATTTCTAATAATTTGACTACCCTTCTAAGGAAATAGCCGTTTGGGAGTCCTAGGATAATAAGCGGCCAAATGAACGGAGGGTAAGTTCAAGTACCATGCCACGACTCTGTCCAAACCGATACCACCACCACCGTGAGGAGGAACTAAATAAGAACGAAACAATCAGCTCTATATTCATTATGGGGATATAAACCATATTCATAAGATGGAGGGGTGTTGGGAATGGTTCTAGCATCTTACCTCCTGCACTCCTGAACACATCGACGTATTCCTTGATACCGGGACTGGCAGGATCGATACCCTTTCTTCTCAGACGAGCCTCAAGGAGTCCGGGGAGATGGATACGTTGGCCTCCTGAGAGAATTTCTTGACCTCGCATCATGAAATCGTAGGCATTACAGACATTGGAGTTTTCAGGATCCTCGATCGTGTAGAATGGTCGAGCGCCTTCGGGAAATTTATCGAGGACATAGAAATCGGTATTGAATTTCTTCTTGATAAGTGCTCCCTAAAATTGAAGTTAGACCAATACTCTCTACGCGTTTTTTTTTATTTTATTACTGGGGATGACGAACAAGGGCCTTCTCTTGGGGGGTACTCATGTCCTCATCGTCCGATACGTTGCGGAATTCCTCTGGGCCCTCTTCGCGCAGCAATTTCTGGCCCTCGGCGAATGTGAGTCGGACTTCTTTTCCGGGCTCGGGAAGAAGAAACTCTTCGGACGGGTATATCGTTCGAATATACTCGATCTCGTTCTGACATCTCTCTTTGAGACCGCGGAAGATGTACATCAACGTAGCTTCTATCATATCCCTGACTTCCTCGTACTACAAAAACTCAAATATTAGAGCGAAAACCTCATCAGACGGAAATCAAGACATTCTGCGTACCGAATCTTCAATTTCCATTTCCAGATCAAGACCGGTGAATTCTGTCATGTGCCTGGGTGTGTTGGAATTCTCGGCTCTGAATACGGGCCCGATACAGTAGACACGCTTTCGCCCAGCGGCAATCTCATACTGCTTATAAAACTGTGGTGACTGCGCTAGGTATGCCTTCTGGTTAAAGTATGGCATGGAAAATACGTTTGCACCTCCCTCTGAGGCAGCTCCAATGAGACACGGTGGCTCGAATTGGGTAAAGCCTTGCTGTAAGAACAACGAGTCAGCATTGCAGCTCTCACTGGTCATTTTCCATATAATAAGTTTAAGACCTGGGAATACGTACTGATTCAAGATATTCGCTGAACAATTTCCTTACGGCCACCCTAACATCAGCAATTGCTTGTTGCACAGGAGCACGCTTATGCATGACGATATTGTTAAGGTGAGTAAGCAAGCTAGCTGTAGGGGCAGCGTCGGCCAGCGATAGGTCGGCAACACCCTCAGTAGGATCAGCTGGTTGCGTGGGCTCCTCGTCGTCGAGTGATCCGACAGGGCGGTTTGAAGCGTTGAGACTCAAGCCTAAGACCTCGGGACCGGGAGCAATCAAGTAGCACTTTGTGATATGAAGCTCATAATCGCTAACTCGGCAGCTCTTGACGGGTTCGAGGGGCTTCTTCACTGTTGCTTCAACCATGACAAAGCTCTCTAGGGATAAGCCTCCTACCCATTTCGCCATCTGTTTCGACACGGGCTTTCCCTCGGAGCTGGCCGCTATAACACCCTGGATAGACCATGACCGCTCCTCTCTGAGCTCAACGAAGGCCATCTTTGCGCCTTGCATGCGCGCGTTTTGGATCCAAGCGCGAAGTCGTATGGTCTTGTCCAGGTGTTCTTCCCCAAGCTTCTTGAGATTCACTCGTTCGGCGTCGACTTTAGTGGTTGGCGTGATATCACCATAGTTGTCTTTGGCGAGATCCACATCCTCGGTCTTCTTCGCTGCAGCTGCAGCAGCTTCCCGTTCCGCCGCCTTTCGCGCTTTTTCTGCTTCCTTTTTGGCCTTTGCTTCCGCCTTCTTGGCTCCTTTCTTACTAGTAGGAGCTTCGCCCTCGGCTCCAGCCTGCTGAGGGGCAGCCGAAGCTTGCGGTTTCTCGGGAGCAGGGGCGTCAGACATTTTGGAGATTCTGGCACGAGAATCAAATCGGGGGATCTGTCGTGACCTATATATCTCGAGTTCTAACGGGTGAGTCAAGGGTCGTTATAAAGTGGAATGACTCTATCGGCGAGCATCGCGGGGCAATTATTATTTTGAGAGCATGCATGGTGGGGTAATTGTAATAGCTTGCTATATGCATATCACTATAACCCAGCTTGCATAGAAAACTTTGATAGAGATTTGCACTTAACCAATCTTGACTTTCAAACAATCCTCTATTTTTCTTGACTATCGTCCGTCTTCTTGAACGCCTTGGAAGGTGGAGAGAAAAAGAAGGGAAAAAGACAATAATTTCTATTAAGTTCTGTCAAAATGGCTGCAGTCCAACCTGCTGCCAACCCAGTCAGCCTGGCGTCCAAAGCCAAGTCCAAAAAGCGAGCCCGCGAAGACGATGGTAGCTCACGAAAACGGAAGAAATCAGCCTATGAGCAAGAGGACCTCGATCTCGACTTAGAGGCTGGCCTGAACAAGAAAATTGGGTTTCTCGACAGCATGCTGTTAGCAGACCATTTAGCTCAGAAAACGAGGAGATTTGGGACCGATTTGAAGCCAGTCGAACTGTCTGCTCTAGACATCTCACGTGAGTGTCACCTAAATGTTAGTGATGCACCTAGACTAACACGAAGACAGCAAATGCGATTAAGGATTCCAGCTCATTTTCAAAGCCCCGGAATCTCGAGAGTTTGCCTGCGTATTTAGAGGCGCATGCTAAGAATCCGAAGAAGCTTGGGGATGCGCCAAAGGAGAACGGCTCTCCTCACACTATCATTGTGACCGGCGCTGGGTTGAGAGCTGCAGAACTTGTCAGGTACTGATGTCTTCTTCTTCTGTCATCGAGACGCCTACTAACAGATTGGCAGAGCAGTCAGAAAATATCAATCGAAGAATATCACAGTAGGAAAGCTGGTATGGATCCTCCTAGTCCAAATGCATGACAATCGCAGGCTAACACGAAGTAGTTCGCAAAGCACATAAAGATCGAAGACACCAAGAAATTCCTTGAAAGTCATCGGACAGGTGTAGCAGTGGGGACACCGGTGAGGTTGAACGACCTTGTGGAGAGTGGTGAGTTGTGATCGCATGGACAGACTTGGAATCAAGCTAACACAGATTGTAGGAGTGTTAAAACTAGACAAGCTAGAGCAACTTGTCGTTGATGCTTCGCACATTGATCAGAAGAAGAGAGGTATCATGGACATGAAAGAGACCATGATTCCCCTAGCCCGCTGGTTGTGTAGGACCGAGTTTAAGGAGAGGTACACAGACTCGGAACGACCGTTACAACTCCTGTTTTACTAGATAGAGTCTAGAGCCAGTCAGCATGTCTCACCTGACTTGGGTTCGATTACGTGTTACATGATACCCAGAATAGTACTTTGGTCTTGGTCGGCGTTAGAAGTGGTGTACAGTTCATTCAGAACGACTATATAGAAAATAGTGGACGCCATAACATTACGAAAGTATGTTCAAAACCCTCCCAACAAGACAAAGTATCTCCTCCGTACTCTCGTGTTAGCATGTGTAAAAAATGCCCAAAAAAACAATTGTCCATGCTGACCATGCCTCTCATACTAGTGTCCATTGAACCAGTAGTCCTGTAGCAAGACTATAGCAATCCATAAGACAAGCCCGGAAAAGGACGCCTCGACACGAGATGACTCGGATTGAGTGATGACCCATGGTCGGTTGATACTCGAGGACTCGGGACTGCTGGTCAAGAAAGGCGTAGGTGTTGGCGACATCGTAATGGTCAGGGTGATGTGCTCCGTGCACGTGGTGGTAAAAGTCTGCACAGCTGGCGCACTTTCCTGGCGTAACTGGATACCTGGTATTTCGGCAAGCTGGCGACCGGCAAGATAATCGGCCTCTCGCACACGGAGGAGCTCTTGATTGATGAAGCCCGGCGCAACCATGTGGATCTCGGCACCGACTTCCATGCAGGTTGAGATGGTGCGGCTAAGTGCTTTACCGTATTCGTTCGAATCGCACTGGGAGTAGAGGCATTGGAATAGGGACTGGTACGAGAGCGTCAACATAATGAGCATCATATGCGGCTATTGTATGACATTGCAACTTGCCTTTTGGTACTCTTCTTGATGACATAGGCAGTTCATATCTAGGCATTGCGTAACAAACATGCTGTCAACCATGCAATGTGATCCGCAACCTACCAACCCGTGGTGTTAGTAAACCGATGAGTAGTGAGATGCACCATGCATTCAGGAACTCTTACTCGGCATTTCAGGATCGGTGCCAACGTCCAGCTTGATCATCTTAGCAAGGGAAACGCGTAGAAGCAGGAAAAGGAAGCTGATGTATTTCATTTTGCCCAAATTGAAGGGGGTATGAGTACGAAAGAGTGATGATTGGATGATTGGGTATGGAGAGAAGGTCAATGACCAGGCCAGCGGCGTTGATGTGCGTGTGGAACGTGACTGTCGGTCTGATGACTTGGTCCTCGTTGTTATTGTGTCGTTTCCCGTCCGCCGGTGTTACCTAGCTGGTTATTACGTTCGGTCTCGTCTTCTGATCCAATAAATCGGTGCAAAAAAAGCGAATGAATTCCGGCTGAGACAGCGCGGTAAGGATAGTCACCAAGAAATCAGCCCCAAGGGGGGAGTGAAGTCAATGCTTGACAATCCAAAAAAAAGGGAGCGAATGAGGCTATAGGAAACGAGCGAATCCTCGGTAGCGAAAGACTGGCGATGTTGTAGTCTACTTGAAGGGGATAGGGATGGCCCGAGAGAGTACGAGAGACAGAGAGGGAGGTGGGTTGTCACTTCGTGAAGTGACCCTTTCCTCTTTCCCTTCCACCAAGGTGGGAATATAAGGTAGTTGCAACCATTGAAGACCCAAAGGGAAGCTGCCTCCGTCTCATGATTCTCATTACCACGAGAGACCGCGGGATGATCCGACCAAGCTTACTCGAGCAGTCCTTGAATTCTGCATTTAATGTCGAATTGCAGGCATTCTGGAAGGATGACGATATCTTCGTAACTGCAAATAGAATAGCAAACAATTCTCTTAGGGCAGTCACTGCTCTTCACATTGTGTGATTGATAGAACGCGTCTCCCATTGTTATTCTAGTCTAATAAACTTGTTATCGCTTATTAGGTAGCTAAGGGTATCTACAGAAATTCCTTTATCGCACTCGTTTATTCATTTCTACATGCGATGCCAGGCTTGATGGTAACTAGGATGGTGATGAAGGAAGTGACCTTCATAGCGGATGGTGACAATGCCATGGGCCTCCAATATCAAAACATGTGCTGCTTCTATCGTGAATATCTGCCCTTTACTCCTTTGATCTTGATGAAATCGGTGAAAGCAATCAAATTATGTATACATTGATCATGACTCATTTGTATGTAGAAGGCTTTTGTAGGATGGAATTTAGATACAATAGAGGATAACTGACCAACTTTTTATTGCTTCACTCTGTGCTGTGGATTCACACTTTACTACCACGATGACTACACCAAAATTGTCGTGGAGGAGTACATCTAGGCAGACTTTTCAGAAATTCTTAAGGCCAAGATCATCTCGAGACAGCTCCTATGAGGCACACGAACGTGCCCACTGTTTCTAACATGAGATCTGTGATGTTGTGCCGTTCATGAGCAATGACGATCTTCTGCTCAAGGTGCCCGTCGGTTGCGACAACCTATTGAACGTGACAACGACTTCTATGATGGATGCTATAGCAACCGTGTGATTATTAGTGGCAGTGGCAATGGCAATGGCGACGACGAATGGCTCAATAAGGTTTCAACGGACGATGTGAATCATTCACCTGGGTAACCCAGTGTAGTGATGAAAGTATATTTAACCACACAACTTTTCGTCTGTACTACTTAGGGACTGATCAATCCCTCATCTTCACTCTCACTAGATATCTCGGAGATATCGAGCTGGGCTGCCAACAACACGTCTTCACCTGCGTTCTTCAACGTCTCGCAACTAGTCATCTTACTACACGAACCACATTCATTGGCAATAACGCAAGCGGTCCGTCACGAAACATCTACACAGTTTTCGACCATTTATTATTATCATGGAGCCTCGACGTAACTTCCCCAATGGTCGCAGGTGCACTATCCCCTTACCGCCGCCAAGGCACAACTCTTTCGAATCCCATACAAAGGATCAACACCCTCGAAGTCGCGATGCAGCGAATTTCACAGCATGGATGGACCGTCAATCCGAAATGATTACTACAGCCTATGGAGAACCGTGGCAGCCAAGGCTCCCAGCTAGATCAGCATTGTCTACTAACCAGAGCAACGGAGATGGAGAAACGGAGGCTGAGAAGAAAGATCCAGCCATGCAATCGCATGCCACCCAAGGCCGAGATGAAATATTCAGGTTCACAACTCTAATGAACACGGAATCTGAAAGCTCCAATTCCGCTTCTCGACGGCCACGCTGGGGAAGTCAAGCGTACACAAAACCGACCGTTTCCGCACATAACAATCACAGTCGCGGCATGAATGAACTTAATAAGAGCGACTCCATGGCTACCTCTGCCGAGGAAATTCCTATCGACTTGCTGCCAGGAGCACCCAAGGCGACGGAGATCCTAAGTGAAGAGGAACTACAACACGACCAGACTTGGCAAACAGACGGCCAAGGATATCTCACTGAGCAGTTTGCAGAGCTTGGCTTGACATCGTCAAATCTCTACGTGGAGGAACTCTCAATGAATCTCCGACGCGCAGCGATGGCAGACTCGCGGGTGAGAACAGACAATTCGGCGCATTCCAGCAAACATTGCAGTTCGCGCTCGACGACGCCTTCAGGCGCGCAACCGGAGTCATCGTCATGGTCAAAGTGAGACTCTATAACTACGCGATGAGAGCTTCCTGAAAATTGTCGAAATCAGCATGGATTACTGCACAGAGGGCATTGAGTTGCAGTACCACCTCGCGTACTGTTTGGTTTGCGGCATGCTGAAGGGCTACGGCGATCTACTGTTACCATACATAGGCGACATCTGAGAACTAGGGCTAAAGTGAAGGCGCCTTCTGGTTCTCTTGATTCCGGTGGGTAGGTATTCGGCGCAGGATTCTTGGGGGATGCGGCTCATGGGATAGCCTGTTGGGAAGAAAGCCTGTTGATTAGATCTTGTATGAAGAAGAAGGGCGTGTGGGATTCAGCGTTATATTGTATTGACAGTTGGTACTGGGGTCTAGAACATCAGAGGCTCGGTATATTATGTGGTAATGAACCGATCCTTAGACGAATACCAAGGCAGATTGCCTATGCTTGCATACAGAGCAGGAACTCGCCAGTACCTAACACCATACCGAATAATGTTTTTCTACTCTGCTTCTATGCCTGTGTATGAAATCAGTGCTGAAAACTGCGCCTCAGCCATGACGAAAGCCACAACCATGTCACCGATGATGTATCTTCAGCTCGGGCTATATAGCCAATTACTGCGCTTCCCCTCCAGGCTGACTGACTGAGATGGCGTACCGACAACAGCAACACCCACAGTCTCCTCCTAAAGTTATGATCCTACGATTGCAAAAGCCTTCCGGTTCCGCTCCCGCGTTGATTGAATGTTCGTGAATCACAATTCTATTTTTCGATGATGAAGCCGGCAACGTATGATAGCTGTCAAGTATGCGCTGGCCTTTGGGACCTGTTCATGAGCGACACTCGTAATCACAGGAAGCTACCTCATTGTTATGGATCTTCAGATAAATCCTGTCCTGGCCATGATGCATTTTCTCAGTACATCATGAAACTCTTCCCTGAATATATTGATGGCCCCTACCTTAGGAGAATGCGGCCCGATGGACCTGTGGGTGTGAAGCTTCTTTTAATAGGCCCAGACCCAGAAAATTGGTTTGCTATATGTGAGCCCCCAGAGGGGAGTCAACTGTCTTGCTATGGGCGTATTCTTGACCCAGGCTGGATTGACGTTGAATTGATTAAAGGATGGATAAAAGACTGCATCACATTTCATGAGGATACTTGTGCCAACCCAGTAGGAGTGCCTCCGGTATCTCCCCAATGGCTCATCGATGTACAGGATGCTTGCATCATTCCTGGTGGAGGGATTCCCGACTATGTAGCTTTAAGTTACAGGTGGGGTGCTTCTAAAGGTCTTCGAAGAGGGGAAGGAAGCCTTGACATAAAGGCACTTCGAAAACCTGGAGCGTTGGCAGAAGCCCAAATCGTCCAGATATTACCACCAACCATCGCGGACGCATTGCAGCTGGTTGATGCGATCGGTGAAAGGTACCTTTGGGTTGATGCCATATGCATTGATCAGAGTGACGAGGCGCACCTTAATCACCAACTTGAGATCATGGGAGCCATCGCTACGGACGGAGACTCAACCAGTGGTATCAAAGGCCTCAAAGGAATATCCACTGCCCGCGACCTACAGCAGGATATTATTCCGCTTTTCGAGCACTTCAAGATCGTTCGGACTTTACCTTGCGACTTTCGAAATGTACCGGTCCTGACTGAAGATGAACACTTCCTAGGATACTTTAGACGGGGCTGGACACACCAAGAATTCCACTTATCGAAGAGACGTCTTATATTCTATAAGAAGCAGATCTTTTGGCAGTGCACCTGCGCAAATTGGTCTGAGGACTTGATTCAAGAAATGACGAAATTCTCTAAGTTTCAATATCATAGAGGCATAAGTCTTCAAGATTCATCCTTGTTGAAAGGTATCCCGAATCTAGACAACTTGTCTCGGATTCTTGCAGACTATAACTCAAGAGAACACTCTTACCCAGAAGACGCCCTGCCAGGAATTATGGGTCTCCTCTCCATCCTCAGTAGGACTTTTGAGGGAGGCTTTTTATGTGGTCTTCCAGAGACTTGTTTCGACGCCGCATTAATGTGGAGAGTTGGTGGACCTCGTAGGCCAACGCGAAGACGTATAGCTTCGAAAAAGAGTTCCACAGTATCTCTGTTGCCGTCCTGGTCATGGGTTGGTTGGCAAACCCCTAGCCTACTCATGGCTCCAAATGAGAATCTCGCAATGCTTGGACTCGAAGCTTGCAGAACTATACCCATAACTCAATGGTTTACGCACGACTCCCCTCATTCGGATTCGAAACGGCCTATAGAGTCAAAATGGTTCAGCTTTCGAAAGAGTATGGAGATTTCGCCTGCTTCTTTGCCATCCGGATGGTGGCGGTACGAAGATGGGACACGGGATGGACTCCCCTCTAATGTGGTAAACAAATTAGGGTATAACCCAAGATACTTTTATTGTCACAAAGAGATCGCTGGGATTAAATATGTAAGTTCAACGGTCTTTATCCGCAATGGACCTCTCATTGCCAAAGTTATTGCGAAGTCTTCTAAGTTGGGCTTGTATTCCCCGGCTTTCACTCTCAGAAGTTAAAATTCTATATTCCCAAATTCTTGGTGACCTAACAATGAGATAAGAAGACTTACATAACAGATTTTAGTACCTACCATTTCCCATTAGTACGAATTACAAAGACCAAATACCATGGAGTCCACGCCAGACTCCATTCATATCCTGCAAAACCAAACGAGGTTGGTTTAAAGCACGAAGAGAAGGGTTATATGATCCTTTGAACACAGAGTTTATGTTGTCGTCAAGTGATGGTTTTGATGACTGCGGGCGTCTTGAATCTCACACAGCAATAGACACATTGCTAGCTGCAACCGCGAGTGGACAGTTAACCGTAGAGCTTGTTGCCATTTGTTCTCAGATTTTGATAAGTTTCCACATGTTCATGGATTTGGACTGGCATAAAGTCTATGGCGTTCTTTGGGTTGAATGGGTTGATGGTGTCGCTTACCGAAGAGGCTCTGGCGTTGTTTATAAAGAGGCATGGGAAGCACATGACCTAGAGGATGTTGACTTGATCCTTGGCTAGTAGTAGTAGTTAACAACCAATGCTAACTTCCACTAGGATAAGATAAGTAAAGCATAGTGACTTGAAAATAGAACGGGTGCTAGTTTGCTAGTAGTGGCCCAAATCTTAGAATGTCGCCGTTACTGAGTACTTACTCTCCAATGACACATATGGCGAGCTTAGCAGCGAAGCTGAATCAGAAAAGTAATATCCTACACACTCGAACAATGAAGCCACAACAAATCTTCATTAACACCCACGAATGCAGGTTCCAACGGCGACGAAGGCGGCGCTGATTACCATCGGTGTTAGTTCAATCGTGCCACCGATGACTTATACGTGTTCAGCAACTCTTCTGCCGCAACAAATCAAAGAGCTCGAAATATAGTATGTGACGGTGACGTAAGACCACCCACTAGGAGACTGAACCGATTCTCGTACAGGGGATCCCGGCTTCGCCTTATGAGGGTGGCTTACTTTAGGCCCAACGCTCTGCGAACGGACGTCGTATGCCGGCGCGTCGATATGCAAGGTACAGGAGCTTACACTACACGACTATAGGTAAGCCATACATACAGCTTCATTTACATCTCTCGCTCTTTCTCCGACGTCGCAACGAGTTTCTTCATGACGCGTACTACCAGACACACTCGCAGGCATACATACATACATACATATAACCGACGTGTGCGGAGTCTGTGAAACGTCTTGATAAACCTCCAATTCAGCTCTTCCGTCATTCCCGCTCTCTACCGCGCCCTAACTCCCGCGTAAGGCAGAAGATCAGATCATAGGCAAACGAAAACTCAACCGGCTGATCCGAATCCCTACTTATCGATGAAAAGATCACAGACCCGCAGAAAAGGCCTATGAATAGTAACAACCGTATTCGATAAGTAAACAAGCTTAAAGAGCAGGTATGAAAATGCGACGACTTGATCTCAGCTCAGTCTCCGAGCTCCGAGCAATGGACAGAGTAGATACGAGCCATGATAGGAGAAACATCACGGAAGACAATAAGTTTTATTTCCTAGATTACGCCGAGGATGGGACATCCTTGTTATGTTTATCTCCTAGCGCGTTTCTTTATTTATTCATTCTTTACCGGGTTCGCGGGGGAGGAAACGATTTCGCATCCGAGGTGGGACAGCTGTACCCTGGCGGTGGATCGAGATTAGGGGTTTGATAGAGAGAAGCTTATTTCCAACTTTCCAGCCTAAGTAAGGATCGCGAGATTCCTAATACACTGGGCAGTGGAAAACGGCGAGAAAGGTAGAAAACAAAGGAGATATGCAAAGACAGAAATGCCATAATTCTCTAATGTGCGTCCTATGAATATATATTCACCATCACGTAAAGAACCCGGTAAGACGTACAAACCAGCGAGCGCTGCTACAAAGTCCGAAAACACATACACACACTATTTTCTTCATCACATGATGAATGCAAACACTCGGCTGCAAGATACACGATATGACACTACCGAGCCAATCGAGCGAAACGCCGAAGCGAATGCACCATTCGGCACCTGGGTTGCACGCTGACGCCGATCATATTGCTGCACGGGCAATCACCGACATGACCAAAGAGATCGAAGGAGCATTCTCGTCTCGCAGCATCTTGCCCTCGCAAATCCGTTTCGCCCGGCCAGTCGGTATGTCGGCGGGAAGCGAGCGAGCATGACTACTTACGCAGGGAGGAATCCAGAACAACACCACGGATAGGGCGGCGCCGACGGAGGAGTGTCTATCTACCTATGGTATACGATGATGGATCAGGTATTTAAGAGTTGTGTTTGACTTGCGTCGCTTCGAGATGTCGTGTGATTTGTCCATCAGCTCGACAGGAAGATGGTCGCGACGATGCCTTCGCTTTCAACTCTCGTGACGGTCGTGTCAACTTTGGTTGCTGGGATTTCTGCTTTGAGTGCTCATATCCACGATGCTACCTTCATTCCAGATGTTGTGCTCAGAGTATCGAGACAGGACATCAGCGTTGCTGGGATTGTACGATACAGCACCTTAGTCAACGGCTCGATGCCGGCGCCTGAGTTGAGAATTCCGGAAAACCAGGTTGTGTGGATTCGAGTACATAACGACGTCGACGATGCAAATGCCACGATCGTAAGTAAACCATCTGCCTTGTCTCACAGTGCACGCAGGATTCGGAGACTGACTGATACGCATGATTAACAGCATTGGCACGGGATAACAGAGGCTGCCTATCCGTTCTCAGATGGCACACCTCTCGCTAGTCAATGGCCTATCCCGCCGCATCACTTCTTCGATTATGAGTTGAAGGCAGATGTTGGGACAGCAGGCACTTACTTCTACCATGCCCACGTCGGCTTCCAAGCCATCTCAGCAACCGGCCCTTTGATCGTGGAAAACGCCGAGCCACCTCCATACGACTACGATGGCGAGCGCATCGTGTTCATCCAAGAGCTCTTCAACCGCACAGACGAGGAGGTCGAAGAGGGTCTAGTCTCAACTCCGATACGCTGGCCCGGCGAGCCCCAGAGCTGGCTGATCAACGGCAAGGGGATATCCGATTACGGCATCGTTGATCCCTCTACGGTGTTGCTAGACGTCATCAACGTCGAGCCGGAGAAGACTTATCGATTCCGCTATATCGGTGCGCATTCTCTATCGTACGCGTCGTTTGCGTTCGAGAACCATACCGACCTCGAAGTCATCGAAGCAGATGGCCACTATACGAAGCCGTACCCCGTCGAGTTCCTGCAGCTCGGGGCGGGCCAACGATTCAGCACGCTGGTGAAGACGAAGACATGTGCTGAGCTCCAGGCATTCGGCAAGCTGGATTTCTACTTCCAGATTGAAAGCCGAGACCGTACGGCTGTAGTAAGGAACTACGCGGTCCTCCGATACGACGGGAGCAAATGCGACCCCATCTTAAGCGGCAACGGCACCCACGTGTCCACCAAATCCAACCCCGCAAACGTGCCCATCGCCCTGCCGCCAACCGTCAACGGCTATCTCGATTATGTGCTGGCTCCCCTCGAAGCGAACGACTTCCCCACAGCAGCCGAAGTCACCCGTCGAATCGTCATCGACGTTCAGCAGATCGTAGACGCGTGGATCGAGTGGCGGGACAACAACGTGAGCTGGACCGAGGACGCCAAAGACCCGCTAGAGCACGCCACGCCGCCCGTGCCATACCTCGTGGCGCTGTATCTGAACGAGACGGCCTACATCCCGAATTACCCAATGGCTATCGCCAACGGGGGCCTCGATCCCAGGACAAAGTCATACCCCGCCAAGCTGGGCGAGGTTCTCGAGATTGTGCTCCAGAACGTCGGCACGCGCACCTACGATGGTTCTCCCGGCGGAGGCCTGGACACCCATCCTTGGCATATGCACGGGAAGCACTATTACGATATCGGGGCTGGCGAGGGGGCGTACGACCCGGCTGTAGCGGAGGCGAAGCTCCAAGGGACAACGCCCATCCAGAGAGACACCACCATGCTCTTCAGGTATGATGCGACGACGGGGGTCGGCGAGGTGCACGGATGGAGGGCCTGGCGACTCCGAGTCGAAGATGCAGGAGTGTGGATGGCGCATTGCCACATCCTGCAGCACATGGTGCAGGGCATGCAGACGCCCTTCGTCTTTGGCGACATGAAGGACATTGTCACCGTCGGGATTCCAGAAGTCCAAGGCTATCTGACGTACGGTGGCGATGTATACGGCAATAGCAGCCATGCGCCGACGGTGATCCATTTCGACGAGTCCGATTGAACCGCTGAATCTGCTGTGCCTGGCAAACATATGAGCCTGCCTACCCCAACGCCCCCGTCCACAACACGAACCCCGTGCTGTCATCTTTTCATGTGATCTCAAATGTACACTATACGCGCCTTCATATAAATATATAGAAATTGTAAATTACAGTATATCAATTCACCGAGGCTTGCAGGCGTGTGCTGACCGCCGACTGTTTTAGATAGATACTGGCCCCATCACTGACATTCACACATAATCCATTTATCGTAGGTACAGCGCAAGGCAAACTTCGTTATCCATAGGCTGGTTTGCAACTTGCTCTTTTAGGCAGCGTGGCTTATCATTTGGAGTAGGTAGCGAGGCAGTATTTGGCGGCTAGGCAAATCGATGACCCCCCCCCCGCTTCGCCTTACCGAACGAAACTCATGATAAAAGCTTCGAGAGAAGTCCTACATATCGCCTAAATCTTGAATAATGCTTCTAATTTAAATCAGGATATCACTTGATTAGCAAATATGACCAAAACAAGGCCCGCGCGCTGTTCAATCCTCGATATATATGAGTGGGACATTGGTAAGTATCATGTTGTGGATAGGGCCGCGGTTTGTCAGCTGTTATTGACAAAGTTGACAGGTCCAGGTTGGAGTCAGAGAACAGTCGACTTACACGAGATTCTATCGCACGATTCAAAGGAAGATGGAGTCACCGCATCTCCTAGGCCCGCTATCTGCATCATGTCAGACATATCGTGTCCCGAGCAGAGAACAGCACCTCACTAACCATCCTACAGCTTCGCCAGTGCGAATATCATCCGAAAATGTGAGCTTTGTCGGGGCCATTTCATCGACAAGTTTAAGATGCCGAAGGTGTGGTGGTCCGATTACAGTAAGAAATCGAACGGCTATTTTGGCTGTCAACGCAGCCGCAGCCCTAATGGTCAAGAGTCATTTGGTACGTTACGTTCACTCTCCTATTATAATCATGTCTATGTACGTGACTAAAGGTGCTCTAGACACATGGACATATTTCGAGATAAAGAAACTTGAACCAACTGCTATTTATAGCTGGTACAAGCTGAATATATTTGTACGGTGGGATGGGGAAAGTCATCAGACTGTTGTTCTCGCCTTCGATACCCCTTATGACATCGCGCAAAGCTTCCGGGATCTACTCGTAGCTCCTGATCCCCGTGATCTTCACTCTCCATTCTGGTTTTATCCTCATTTGCTGAGCGAGGTAGCTCGACATCAAGAAGCTGCAGTATGGGCAATTCGCAACCAAGTGAGAGAAGTCGAAAAACAGACCCTCCCTCTAGGTAGGCCAAACCCCGACTATAGAAATTTACACGATATAGCGCGCCACGCCCTTCACGTTTCTGAGACACTGGAAGTCGCTGTCAAGACGATAAAGAGCATGCTGGATCGGCATAGGGACCTGTGGCCATCACTCTCTGACTTCGATGCGGAACAAGGCATCCATTCCCAGCTTCAGTTCTTTGAAAGCTACATCAGCAGCTTGAGTTCCCGGTCGGCGTCTAACGAGAAACGTATGCTCAACGAGATTCAACTCGCCTTTAACACTGTCGCTCAGCATGATGCCAGCACGTCCGTTAAGATCGGCCTTGCCACACAAGCGGACAGTCTCACCATGAAATCAATCGCCCTCGTTACGCTTACATTTCTCCCGCCCACTTTCGTGTCTGCTATCTTTAGCATGTCCTTTTTCGATAACAGCACCGAGTCGGGATGGGTCCTTTCTGAAAAATTCTGGATATACTGGGTTTTCGCAATCCCAACAACACTCTTCACAGTGGCCGCCTGGTATTTCTTACAGAAGAAGTATAGTGCCCCAGCGCCGTTAAGGGAAGAGAAATTCCATGCTCTCAATATTTCGATATCGCCCAACCAATCCTTCGCCTAATCCTGAAGAAATGAGGTATGCTCAATCCCAACCGTCAGAACCTCAGGCTGCGACTATCCCATAGCAATTAATTAGCCCAACTCTCGCATCAAATTGGGAGTAGGTAACACGGTGCCTCTTACCCATTGATTACGACTCGTCTACACAGCTGGCATTGGCAGGCTTTGTCATTACCAGCAGCCATATCCTCCCGACAAGCTGTGTCGCATGTCTTGTCGGCTTACGCATTGCAATATTGAGTATGCAGAACTTCACCGGTGTAGTACTGCTCTCGAATGCTTTGCAACTTTTGGGAAATGCGGCTTGAGGCGAGTATATGTGCTGGCCAAGCCGAAAGAGCCGAAACCACAAGGTGCTGTTTTGTTATACCAGCCGAAGCGTGAATGCCAGTTCTACCAATGTAGCTGCCTTAACTGCTGATATAATTGATGGAAACCAGGGGTCATATATTAGAGTCTTCAAGACCTGAAGACTTCAACTATAAAATTCCACGTAGTTGATTGCCAAGGTGTCGTGCCCCTATTGTCGCATGCATCAATCCGAGCGCCGCGACTGATAAGTCTTGTGAATGCTTCTTTATTTTCGAGTCCAGCAGCTATGTGTAATGGTGTTCTACCATCTTTGTCAAATACGTTGACCTTAGCGCCGTGATTGAGAAGCTGTATAAATGCTTCCTCTTTCAGTAGATTAGGATAAATTCTACCACCTGTGTCAAATACGCTGATCTCAGTGTCGCGATTGAGAAGCTTTTTAAACGCTGCCCTTTTGAGTTCGTTGAAACAAGTTGTATCTGATAGTGTTTCATCGACGGTATTACTATCGAGCGTGTTGACCGCCTGGCCTCTCCACGCTTTGGTAACTTTATGTAATGGTGTCTGGCCATTATTGTCGACTGCGTTAATCTGGGCGCCTCTATCAAGCAAAAGCTGTATCATGCCAATATGCCGCCCTTGCTCAACAGCTATATGCAAGGGGGTCTGGCCACTATCGTCGCCTGCATTAACCTGGGCGCCTCTATCAAGCAAAAACTGTACCGTTTTGACATGCCCTAGTTGAGCAGCTACATGCAAGGGCGTCTGGCCATTATTATCAGCTGTATTGATTTGAACGCCTTTGTCCAAGAGCAACTCGACTATTGCCATTGTTGCTTCATACGCCACTGCCGCAGCGAAATGTAACGGCGTTGCACCGTTCCTGTCAGTAATATCAACACCGCTACCTTTATCGAGGAGTAATTTAACTATCTCGCCGGTCCCAAGTCTTGCAGCACTAAACAGCGGTGTAACACCGAACTCGTTTCGAATATGGATATCGGCACCCCTATCAAGCAGTAGCTGCACTATGTTGCAGTATACATCCTCACTCCGCTCCGTCCAACATAGCGTTGGGCTCTCAACAGCATCGAATAAAGGTGTTCGACCGTTCCGATCTTGTTCGTTGGCATTAGCACCCCTATCAAGTAATGTCTGGAGCAAGTCTTTGTGAGCTGCCTTTGAGGCTAGCTCTAGTGGTGTATAACCAAAGAAATAAAAGCGTTCTAGTGAGGGAGGTAGTTGCGGAACATTGTCAGTAGCTAGTTGACGGGTCTCTGACTAGGAAAGAGAGTAAGTTTTTGTTATAGCAGCACTTCGGGACAGGATATAGCGATATTATTTACCTTGAAATTTCCGATTTCGCAACAATTAACAGGACTTTGCCAAGTCACTAGATAGGCAAGATCTTCGCACAATTCGAAACTGGGCTTATCATAATCGAAACATAACTCGGACAAACGTGCCCAGGTTCCAAAGTCAAATGATTCGAGCAAGCAGTGCTGCGAGAAGCCAGTCGCAGCACGGCTAGAGTGATATGCAACGGATTTTACGGCGGTTTTAGCGAATGGAAATCTTTTGACAAAATCCTCAAACTCAGTGTGATAGAAATCCCGAAATCTTTTGACAAAATCTCTGAACTCGGAGCAATAGGAATCCTGAAGTCTTTCAAGAGCTACCTTAACATCTGATTCCCTCGCTCGGAGATAAGTATAGCAACATTGTGCCAGCTTATTATGACTGTAGGTTGGAAAGTCGAATTCAAGTTCAGACCAGATCTCATTAGTGCCCCCATCTTTGAGGAGAAAGTCTCGTACAGATTCATGGATAAATTGAACTTTAGGGGTCAGTGTCTTAATAACCTCGGCGAGTCCCTTTGAGGAGGCCACGACGTATCGTTCCATATCTTCTTCTGTGACTTCCTTGGGATCCCATTCGCCCAGTTCACTTTGTCCATAGTCGAGTCCGGCTAGCATTGCATAATAATACTCTTGTGGTACTAAAGCGTATTTGGCAAATAGAATCCACTGGATTGACAGCCGAAACTCATCCATGTTTTCGCTGTCCCTCTTCAACATGTCTTTGAACAGTTCTTTTAGAGTAGGAGGGATTGTACCGAGCCTCTCTCTTACTGCGAATATCCGACCGCGCCGGTATTCCTTATTCAAGATATTGACGACGAGGACAATCCACAAAAATACGCCGGCTGATTTATCAAGAATTTTGTCTCTGATATCTTTCGTATTCTTCGAACCAATAGTAAGCTTATCGTTGACATACTCTTTGAGGTCCTGGTTATGGTCTGGTTGATTTTCCAACGTCAATGTTATGCCGTCTTTGATAGATATGGAAGGATAGTGTCGGCTTGACAGGCAGATAAAGAGCGTCACGTTGGTTTCTAAAGCGAAATCGCTGAGGGTCTCAAAGTATTTGACCATCTCGTCAACATCGCCTTCTCTACACTCATCAAGGGCATCGACGAAGCACGTCAGCTCTTGTTGGCCAAAATGGCTTATTGAGTGGGATAACAGCGCCTGGAGTATACCAGTATCCCACTTGATGGAGCCCGGCTTGATTGTACGAAGGAGGGAGTGATGTTCAAACACATGTTCTTGTTGAAAACTCGGCAGTTGTTGAAGTACCTGAAGCAATAGAGAACGGTACATCCCATCGAGTGATTTCTCTAAACCGTCTCCTCTTGCGTTGAAAAAGAAAGAAATGGTATTGGATTTTCCTTTCATCTTCGTATAGATGAACTTCATCAGCGTTGATTTGCCGGCGCCTGGTTTCCCCCGAATCCTGGGAGTTCAAGATATGTTAGCCGAGAACTGAAATGATTTTACCATGGAGCTGACTAGACGCTCAAAGAGGAGTAGATAATGCACTCACTGCCAATAAGGGTGTTATGACTTACCATAGAAAGCCACCTTAACCGCTGGAGTCATGATTTTCCATTTTCGGAAGTATCTCAACTCTAAAAACATATTTCGGGAGTCTGTTTCGGGAGTAATATATCTCATTCAATATAAAGCAATATATTACCTAATTAACTAACGCTATTTAGCTTTATCAACTAAAGTGTATAAATGGCGGGCCCATAATAGCTTTTAAAGGCTTAGTAAAATTAGCTTTATAGCAGGGGCAGGATTAAAGCTCCCATTCTATATACGATTCTAGCTCTATATCCAGGTTTAACTTATACCGCTTAACTAAGTTTTCTAATTTGTTTTTAAAGTATAATACTTATATATACCTTTAAAGATTTCTATTTTATATAAAGGATTTTAAATATTTATTATAAGTAAATGGTTTTTTTTTAAGGTATATAGCTTATATATAATTTTAAAAATTTTTATTTAATATAAAGGATTTTAAATATCTATTATAAATAAATGTTTTTTTCTTAAGGTATATACCTTATATATACCTTTAAAAATTTTAATTTTATATAAAGGATTTTAAATATTTATTATAAATAAATAGTTTTTTTTTAAGGTATATAATTTATATATATATTTAAAGATTATAATTTTATAAAAAGGATATTTATATATTATAATCTTTATAAAAATATAAAAACCTATCCTAATATTCTTTAATAGTATAATTATAAGCTTTAATATCCTTAAAATATTTATACTCCTTATAAAAGTAATAGGTTTTAATAATAAGAAACCTTTCTAAGTATACCCTATAATTAAACATTATATTTAATAAATAATCATTATATATATAATATATATATAAGCCTACTAATATATAAAGCATATAGTAAATTAGGTATAAAAAATTATATAATTTACCTTTAACCTATAGCTTAATTAATAATAAAGCGCTATATATAAACTATTATAATAAGTATTTTACCTCCTTTAACAATAATTTAATACCTTAAATCTTATTACCTATTATATTATAAGGGGTAATAAATATATTATCCTATAAAATTAATTAAATAGCTATACTTATATTTAATATAATGTTAAAATTATATATACCTTACCTATAATTAGTTATTATTATAATAAATTATATAGTTAAAGATTTTAGCTTTTAGTTAAAAATATAATAAAAGTTTTTATTATTAAAGGCGCCCTAATATCTTATCTTTATTATAATGCTATATTAAAGGTATTTTATTATAATTATTATTATTAAGTAATTTTAAAAGGGAATTAAAGGGAAACCTATTATATTAAATCTAACTTTAAATTAAAGTTCTTTTAAACCTAATTATAAATTTTAAATCTTTAATTACTATTATTTAAAATATTATTAATATATAATCTTATATAAAAGTTGTTAAAACGTTAAATTTTTTTTATTAATATTTAATATTACTATATTTTAATTATATTTTTATAGCATCCGGATTTAATTTATCGCTTAAAAAAAGTAATATTATAATCTTAAAACTTTAATTTAATAAAAAGGATATTCTATATATAAAATAAATAAAAAACCCTCTTTTTATAATTATTAATTAATAAAATTGTTAAATATTTATTAAATTTAGCTTAATTAATATTATAATTTTAAGTAATTTAAAGTAAAATGCTATATAAATCATTTTAAAGCTAAAAATTAATTTAATAATATTCCTTTACAATATAGTTTAAAGTTAAAAATATCTAATTAAGGAATTTATTTAACAATTATAGCTTCCATTTTAATAAATACTTTTTAATAAAGCTTAATTAAATATTAATTTATAATATATTAAAGAATTATTAAAACCATTTATTTTTATTATTAATAATTTATTATAACCTATTAAATTACTTTATATAATAGAGAATATTAATATTAAATAAAATATAAATAATTATATAATTAATTAAAGCATAAAAAAGAAACCTTAACTTAAGTTCTTTAACTTTAAAGTTATATTAATTATAATATATATATAACTATTACCCTAATAAAGGAAAAATAATTAAAGCTATATATTATTTTATAAAGTTTATATAAAAAAAACTTAAAAAATAGATTATTCGTTATATAGTTTATTAATGTATAACTATTATTATTATTAAGGAAAAGGTTTATATAATTATACCCTACTTTAAAGGAAAGGGAAAAAAAATTAAGGTTAAGCTATAACTTAAGCCCTATTTAATTATAAAAAGCTATTAACCAATTTTAATTTTTAACTTAATTAAAAAAGGTTAAAAGATATTCCAATATTGCTTTAATATATTATTTAAATACTTCCTTTTTAATATAAAATAATAAACCAGGTTCCTTAAGGTCCTTTTAACATTTTAAAAATAGCTCTTTATTAGCTACCCTAAATAAAAAAGCTTTAATAAACCTATTAGGCGCCTAAATTATATATAGTAGGTTTAATAATCCCTTTTTCTTTATTACTTATATATAGCTTTAATTATTTTAAATCCGGTTGCTCTTCTTTTAAATTAGCTTCTTTTTTATATAGGTATTAATAATATTATCTATATTATTTAGCTTTTCTTTAATAATAGTAATAATAGGAATAATAGGGGTAGTAGGAAAAGATTTATTAAAGCTTAAGTTTAAAGCTTTTAAATTATTATAATAACTATAATTAATATTATAATTTAAATCTTCCAAGTTTAATGTTATATTATAATTTATATTATTATAATTTATATTATAATAATTAATATTATAATAATTAATATTATAGCTGCTTTAAGTATAAATAGTTATAGTAAGCTATTATAGTTTACCTTTAATAGCTAGCCTATTTATTATTAATCTTTTAATAATAAACCTAATTTATATATTATAATTAAGATTAATATAAGGTAAATATATATAAATGGATAAAGATAATAAAGAACTTATATTAATATAGTTAAGATTTATATAAGGTAAATATATATAAATAGATAAAAATAAAGGAAATAAATATTATTAGGATAGGTTTAAGCTTTATAAGTAAAAGGTATATTATTTAAGGATATATTACTTAAATAATAAAAGATTTATTAATTAAAAGGGCTATTATTAATATATTATAACTAGTTTATAATAATAAAGCAACGGTTAAATAAGTTAAATAAGATAGAAATTAAGGTATATTAATATATTAAAACTGGTAAATAATAATAAAGCAATGGTTAGATAAATTAAATAAAGCAGGGATTAAGGTATATTAATATATTATAATTAATAAGTAATAATAAGGTAACGGTTAAATAAGTTAAATAAAGTAGGAATTAAGGTTTTTATAATAAAATAATCTTTCTTTAATATATAGTAATATATTAATTATTTCTTTCTTTACTAAGTATTATTTATATAATTAAATATAAGTAAAAGTATTATAAAGAAGTTAATAATTAAATAAGATGAAATATATACTAGTAATTAAATAGGATAAACATATATTAGCTTGATTTATCTTTTACTTTTATATTTAGCTATTTAATGTAGAAGGCTGCATTATTTAAAACATTAGTTAACATTTGGTTAATTATTATATTAGGACCTAACTGTTTTTATATAATAGTTAAATATAAATTAATAAAATAGATTATAATATCTTTAATAAAAGTATTATAAAAAAGTTAATAATTATTAATAATTAAATAAAATAAAATATATATTAGCTTAATTTATCTCTTTTATATTTAGCTATTTTATATAGGAGGCTATATTACTTAAAATACCAATTAACATTTAGGTAATTAGAAATACCTTTATAATTGCTACACTAAAATCCAGCCGTTTTTATATAAAAGCTATAGCATTTATATTAAAATATTATAATAAAGCTAATAATAGGTTTAACTCTTATTTTTTATTTAAATCTTATATATTCCCTTTTAATATTCTACTATAGTTTTATTATTTTTTAAAAGCCTCTTCGAATTTTAGGTAGCCTAGCTAGTTACTTAATATATTACTATAAAGTCCTTAAACCTATTCTGGTTAAAGGTGTTACTTAATAAATTATAGGCCTTAGGTATTAATTACCTATAATAAACGTTACTATTTGTAAGCTTTTAGGGCCTATTACTGTAACCTATTTAAAAACATTAGTTTAAGCTACGCAGCTTATAATAGTATTAAATCTTTTATACTTTTTTAAGCAATAATATATAAGCTGCTCCTTAAATATATATCCTTTATTTTAAAACTATTAAATAATATTATATAGCACTTTAATATAAAGCATATAACTTAGTTACTATATATAACTTTTTTATAATTTTTATAGGAATTAAATTTAAATAACTATAGGGTATTATAGTTAATTATATTATAAGCTTTTTAAAACTCCTAATTAATCTTTACCATTAAGAAATTATTACCTAAAAGCTTAAAGTTAACTTAAGAAACTTTATATTATAACCTATAAATAATATACCCTTTTTACTTCTTTTAATCTTTATTAATATTATTAAACACTAACCCAGCTTTTTATTAAGGTTAAAGGATTATATAAATCTTAATTTATATATCTTATTAAATTAAAAGGATATTTAATACTTCTTATAAAATATAATATTATTATTTAATAACTATTAATCTTTTTCTATAATTGGAAATTATATTTAATAATACTTATAAATAATATTAGCATTATTATAAAACTATAATATATTTTATAAACATTATACTACTATATTATATTTATAGCTTAAAACGAACGGTTTATCCTTTATTAATATAATGCTTTAAAATTGCTTTAAAAGTATTATATATAACTTTTATTACAATTTAAAAATTAATAAATAAAGTATTTAAGGGCTTAAATATTATAGAACAGTTAAAGGCTATATAATATAGGGGTTAAAATTAAAAGGGGTGGGGGGGAAAGCAGTAATATTAA